ACTAACAATAATCTACAATAATGTACATCAAAATCTATAAATATGTGTTGATTTTCCGTAATAAACGTTCTGTTGCCTGGCCCTTGTCTTCTGTTGTCACACTACTACTAATAATAGTAATAATAATAGCACTGCTAATAATAATAATAATAACCATAGTAATAATGATAATAATTGACAGGTTCATGTGGAAATTATTATTATTTTATTATTCTTCCCTAGGGTTCCTAGTGGAACATAGGGCTTCAACTGCACGCCTCCACTTGCTTCTATCTTGTGCTGTACTTTTAACCTGCATCCATGTTAATCCATACTGTTTCAACTCCTCTTCACACAATATCCTCCTTGTCACCCTTGGAGGTCCAACTCACCGCTTCCCTTTCGGGTTCCACTCGAGCGTTGGCCTGACGCGCGATGTCACCCAGCGGCCTCCTCAGCGAGTGTCCAATCCATCTCCACTTTCTCCTGCATATTTGTTGAGCGATTGGTTCTTGTTTTGTTTGTTCCCATAGTTTCTTGTTGGTGATTCTTTCCGGCCATCTGATCTTTAGTATAGAGCGAAGACAGTTGTTGATAAAGGTCTACAACAGGCTGTTGGAAATATTCTTTGTGACCCGCCGCTAAGTTTCTGATCCGTATAGAAGAACTGACTGACTTGACGTTTGTATTGAAAATCCAAATTTTGTTGTTGATGCAGGCTGAGTGACGAAGATTTCCAGTTTGGTTTCAGGTTGATGAATGTGTTTCTCGCCTTCCCGATTCTCAATTTGACATCTTCGTCCGTTCCTCCTGTAGTAGTTCATGTGGAAAACCTAAGGCGAAAACCAACATACTGCCAGAAGAGGCAGGCAGCGAAGACAGAAATCCAGGTGATGCAGATAACCAACTAGCCAACCAACCAACAACAACAACAAGCAATCACTGTCAACTGAAGAAATTTGAAAGCGGTAACTTCCTCCGCGCTTATCTAACCTAAGCAGCATCGTTTCAACTAAAGACGACAGCACGGATGAGAATGTCAAAGCGAGGATTAGAAAAGCCAAGTAACACCTTCATCACTATGAAACCAGTCTGAATATATCTTCTCCACTGAGCCGGCATAAGGAACAAGATTCGGATTTTCAACACAAGCGTTAAGTCAGTCACTCCTTCTATATGGGTTAGAAACTTCCAGGGGGCGTTACGGAAGGCATTTTCAACAGGTTATCGCAGACTTTTATCAACAGCTGCCTTCTTCTCTGGCCGGCCGGTGAGAAAGAATTTGCAACGAGAAACTAGGGGAGGTAACCAATCAAGAATCTATCGCTCAACAGAAATCCAGAAGAAAATGGATATTTGATTGGACATTGTGTGCAATGAGGGTCATCGCTCAACTGGAACCCGAATGGGAAACGACGAGTTGGACGTTTGTTCGAGAGGAAAATGGAGAAGATCGTACGAAGAGGAGAGGTGGGACTATGGACAGTGGTGAGACCAGTGAAACAAGACACCGGAAAGTAGAAAAAAGTGGAGAAGTGATGTTGAAGCCCTACGTTCCACTCGGAACTGTAGCTCTGCCCCACGTTATTACATGTTAGTGCATAACAGTTTATTGGTTTTCAACTGTAAGTCTTCGCCAGCGAATCTCAGATCTTCCAGAGTCATCTTATGGATCCAGTATATCCCTGTCTTCTTGCCGCCACGCATAGTCAGTTGCATAATCCAGTTCCCCCACAATTAAGAATATCATCGAGGATAGTGGGCAAAAAACTACCATGAACGGTAATCTACACTCACGCCCTTTTGCATAATTCAACAATTTATCAAACAAGCATGTAAAACTTACAATATCCGGATAAATGCCAATTAAACTATCCGCACGACTATAAAATTCTTCTTTCAATGATATAACAATTATTTGTGCTCTAGCTGAAGCATATTCACGTATAAAACTGGCAACCTAAAAGAAAAAACAGGGGAAAAATAGAGTGCAACTCTAATTATCAAGGCTTACTTTTTATCATTATTTTTTTAATTTTGTTGTTTTTACCTTCCCAGTGGAGCATAGGGTGGCTTCAACCTAGAGCTTCGAAGTGTCCGTAGCAGTGGTTATGTGATGAAAGTAGCGTCAGGCAAGAATTGACTAACTTTTTTTCATCTAGTAAATAAACAATCTCCTCCATCCATCCTTATATACCTTCAAGTTTTACTTTTATGATTTCTACTATATTTATGGTCCTGTTGATTCTTTGTTTTTACTTTCATAACTGCAAACACCAACTTATCTCTATAACTGCTGTAATCTTTTTCCCTCACCATATCATGTAAAGAGAACATCATATTCAATATTTTTAATCATACTAGGATTTGTATACCGCATCGACAATACTGTGTAAAACAAGCCCACGGCAATTTCCACTTGTATTATTATCATTACCTTAGCTGCTATCATTATTATTATTTCCATTTTATATGCTGCATTATTTTTTTTATATTACCCCTATTGTAAATGTAGAAAAATTTTCTGTGTGATTAATTTTATTTATAATTTGAGGAAATTAGATGCAATATTGTGATTAATGCTGAAAATTCCATTCTGTATCACAAGTACTGTTTTTGGAATAAAGTAAATCATTATTATTATTCATTCTTACGGGGTAGGGGATGCTAGTCTAATGCCCAACGCTTCCGTCTTTACCGTCCTAACTACCACAGCATAGTGAGGTTTTAAGCAGTGAAACAGTTAGAGACCAAATTCCTGACCGGTAAACTACCGACGTGATTATCAAGGCTACAACAAAAAACAAAGTGTCTGCCACTCTATAACTCTATGCAAGAAGCAATATTTCTGAGGTATATTCTTCAATTACGACATCCGATGATTGGAGGTAATCAAGAGAAAGGCTGTGGACTTAGGTTTTATGCTTCTTGGCATTCACCAGTCAGCGAGGCGTACCTTTAATCTTGAAAGAACTCAAATCCCTCCTGAGATTCGAACCCAGTGCTGCCCAGTCAGAGGTTTATCACGACTGATTTATTCGGCCTCGTTATTCACCTTCTGTGGGACCGTATTAGACACTTTGATTGGACACTAGATTGCAAGTAACTAGCAGCACATGTATCTGCGTCGGTGGCACAGCGGTAGAGTGCTCACCAACCACGCCTCAGGTGGTTCGGGGTTCGATCGCCGGCCAACAGACGCACTCCTTTACCTCGCTAAGGCTATAGCTTGAAGCCACCTTATGTTCCACTGAGAACGTAAAGGAATTTTTAAAAAACATATGTATCTAGTCCTTTGTTTGGTGCAAACTGAATTCTATCACGATAACAAAAAGAATTGCGTCTACTAAAGCCTTATATCTATAGATATCCCACATCTTTAACTTCATAATAGAGACAGTAGAGTTGTGATTCTTATCGGTCTGTTTTCTCGACTTCAAACCAGTAGGCTGACGGTTCAAACTTGGCTCCACGAAGCGTAGTTGAAGTAGCCGGGTGCTGTGAACTAACTCCTTGTGGCAACTCGAACTGCTGCACTTCGGTGCCAAGTTCTATGTTGAATCCAGACAGAACTAACTCCTAGAGCTCATTGCCAACTTCTCGGAATCTCAGGTGTTTATTGACTAACCACAATGAAACACAATTAACAATCTAGAAGAAATTATACTTCAAAAAATGCCTTCAATTTATCCCTTATTTATTCCATAGCATTCCGGGGTGGAAAGTAAGGCTCCCCCAGCCTTGAGATTACAGTAATCCCTGTGTTATATTTAGGTGGTGGGATGGCTAGCGTAAAAACCGACCACCTCTCTTTTCCGGGCTTATTGTTCCAAGTAACTGAGGTTCAAGAGTGCCTCAAGAGGTGACTGAACCCGGACCTCCTGTGTGTGTCTGCACATTCAACTACTAAGCCACTAATGACAAACACATTTGTCCCTAAAGGTTAGCCGTGAGAATAAACAATAATTCAAGTCCTGGTTTGTAGGGAATTGATTGGTTACAGGATTTCATCAAGTGCTGACATCGGCTAGAGAACCTCTGAGAACCAACTACAGAGTACTGGACAGCTGTTTCAAACCCAGGACCTTCCGGTTACAAGGGAAGCTCGTTGACCAATCAGCCACAGGGACCTGATCCAAATGGCCCATGAATTCCAACCTCCGAAATTAGGACGAAACAGCTGTCCGGTAACTCCCATGTTCTTCGTCGGTCCTATAACCGATATAAACTCATGAAATCCTTAAAAATAATTCACAGGGATAAAAAGTTCCCGGTTAAGAGAACCACTCATTGGAAAGGGTATCTAAATTTACAAAGCGTCACCACCACCACAACAACAGCAACAACACCAACTTACTTTCCCAATATTTGTATTATCCAATGCAGCGTCAATTTCATCAAGAACAAAAAATGGCGACGGATTATATCGATGCATAGCAAATAATAAAGCCAATGCAGCGATTGTCTTTTCACCACCAGAAAGACTATCCATCTGTTGAAAACGTTTCCCTGGTGCAACACACTGGAATTGGATTTCTTCTAAATACGGTTCTTCAGCATTTGTTGGCAATAAACTTGCCTATTAGAGTATGGAGAGCAAAATAAAGAGAGAGACATAAGGAGCCATATAAGAGTAGTTTATCTGATATAATCAGTATAAAATAATCTATGCTCGTACAACCAAGTACAGGAACTCAACGATACCATACTTGGCCCGTGTTCTAAGCGACAGAGACAATGTTAAGAGTGAAACCTATGACTTGCTTTGTTGTTAATAACATAATTTTAGACTCTTTTATTTCTATCTTATTCTTTATTCTATAGAGAACTCCTTCTTAAACATACTTAGCTACCTGTCATTGACCATCATGTAATTATTAGTTTTGTGGTTGTGTTTTTCTTATTTTTCATTTTTTTTTCCGGCAATATTAACTGACAATCATTGGTTGTGAACGGCATTATCACCACCTTAAAATTTTGTATTATGCAGGATTGCTCACACTACCACTACAAACACTGCATTAGACCTGACAATAAAAAACAAAACAACAAACCTGAAATGTTATTTTATGAGTGTTGTTTCAATCAAATTAACTGACCATCATTCTTAAATATCAGTTCATAACTTCTTGTATGGCTATAGCTTTACTGTCACCATGCATAATCATATCATAGCTTTCACTACCCAATACTGAGTTATTATTATATGATGTTTCTTTTCCTTTCTACTTCTTAGTATTTTTTCGCATTTTTTAAAAATTATTTTGTTTTTCCTGTCTATTTTTGCTGTTGGTGTCTATGTATTTATTTATTTTTTTAAATACTCCTTTTAAATGTTTGATCAAATTAGATGCAAATATCATAGATATGTGCTGAAAATTCCACACTGTACCACTAGTACTGTTTCTGGAATAAAGGAAATTATTATTATATAAAACGCACACAGCGATTCAAACCGGAGAGATATCAGCTAACTTGACGTGATGGTCGAGGGGGTGTGCATATCGCAATGACCCAACGAGTTACACTGCCTGGAATTAATGCCTTCGCAGGTTCTACTGTGGTGAGAGCTATCTACTATCCAAAATTGATAGACAGCAATTTGCATCAATGTTTACGTCCCGAATCGGGGGCGCGAGATAAAACAATGACAAAGCCTAATCTTGAGGAACTCAACAACCAATCACGGCAAAGTTTGCGTGGGCGGATACGATTCGCAGACATATGGTCTGACCTTCAAAGAAACGGCCACAAAGAGATGATAGAATAACTTTCAGTGAGAAAACAGCCAATCAGAAGACGCTGTTTCTCTGCTTATAATAACGAATAATAATGTACATAAAAATATGTAAATATCTCTTGATTTCCTCAATAAACGATGTTTCCTGGCCTTTTGTCCTCTGTAGTTACACTACTATGCCACAGAAAGGTTATCTGGATCGCGATTAGACTAAAATGAGTTACCATCATTGTGGAAGTTATTTACAGTGTTGGGGGGTCTGTGGGCGACACTGCACTGCTCAGGAATGAGGATACGATAGCAGTAAGATGTGTTCCCTTCAGATGACCAGTTAACCACGTAGGCTGCCACTCCCGCTTTCGAGGAGGGGTTAAAAAGGGTTGACCCTGAAAATTGTACATGCCAACTTAACATGCTACAGTCAGTCAGTAGCATGGCGTTAAGATCTTAATAAGCACAGAATTCCAAAAACCAATTGGAACTTATGCAGTTTTTCCGTGAGTTCTTTAGTCTTTCAGTTCCAGATACTCCAAGAAAAATTCAACTTTCACAGTATGTCCAGCCGGGAAGCAACAACCATCGACCCACACTTCTGAAAACACATAAAGAAGCTCTCTTGACCATTCCACCACCTACAGTGATACTGTAATAATAACTGGATGACATCTCTAGGAAAATTTGTTCCTTATAAGCATACCATCAGTGGATTCACACAACTTGATAATTTGACTTTTACAGTCTTACTCCGCTTTACTTTTTTATTTAAATTCTCCATATATCCGATGTAGACGATTCTACGTGTTTTTTGTTGGTTGCTGCCTTGGACAATGAGGAATTAGTCCAGGTAATATAGACCTATCCGTATACTTTTTTAACGTTCGAACTGTTGAAAAACGGTCATAGATAAACCACAAACGTAATTCAAACTGTGCGATATGTGATATGTAAACTGAAGTCTTCACTCAACCCTTTTCGGAAAAAATTATCGATTATCTATATTTTGATCCACGAACAGGTAAATTAATGAAGGCAATCGAAACAGATATGTATCAGCATGCATTACTACACTTCATATTACGGAAGGTTGTAGAAAAGAATATGAAATAATATACTAATAGACTCAATAAAACAAATAAGAATATGAGAAAAGGGACGATAAGGCTTAGCCTGCTTAAAACTTGGGCTACCAAAACATCTCCATCAATATACTCTATATAGTTCCTCCTATTCAATTTGTTTAAATCTAACTGACTGACTGACTGGTTTCAACGTCGCAATTTACACAGATGTACAGCAATTCCCATCGGGACGGTAAAAACCAATGGTTGGAAACAATTGGTGACATGGCTGGCGCAGATGCATCCACTCCTTGTGACTTATGATTTCCAGTCAAACTGTTTTGTTCATCGTTATTACTATTCCTTTGTCTCACACCTCTGTTTACTGTCTCTATTAGGCATTTCTCCTACTTTCTTCTCTTCTTTTGTGTGTTACATGGAGTGTGGCGACTTGAACTGCCGCACATATGTGCACAGCTCTGGGTCGAATACAGACAGACAGACAGCAATTTCAGTTGCCACATTCCCTCCATGTAGCAGACAAAGGAAGAGAACATTGTAAAGAGAGATTAAAAACAGAGATAATAAACAGAAATGTGAGGAGAAAACAATAGTAATATGGAAGAACAATAGAGTTTCATTGGATATCACAAATGAAAAGCAGTGAATGAATGCATCTCCCCCATCCATTGAGAACGAGGATTTGGAGCAATATCACCAATGGTCTCCAGCCTTCATTGGTCCTTACCATTCCGAGGACACCAATCACACAATCTACACCTCCTTAGGTAACTGGCTCGCTCAAAATAACTGTTAGGGATTTCGTTGACTGGTGAAGCTATGTTGACGTTTGACCACCATTAACTAGCTCTTTTCCGACCTGATCAATCCTATATCAGCTAACATTGCTCGTCGAGGAAGGTGTTGGCTACGCATGCGTAATATATGTCCTCACAATCTCAAGCCATGTAACTTCACAACCTCGTCGATTTATTTTTCCTCCCACCTACCTAGCACTGGACGCCTAACTTCATTATTATTCACCCTATTATACCACCTAATACACACTAGATGTAGACAGAACGCAGACATCTGTGATCAAAGACAGCTGTCCGGCCTTTCCACTTTCAATGGCCATGTCACGCTCACAGCCATGCTGAAACAGAAGTGTATAGCAGGGAAAATAATTACATCGACAAACATGAAGCCTTAATGGGTCTTAATGAATGCACCACTGAGAATAGTTTTGAGGCATATCTACCAACAGTCCTAAGCCCACTGGTTGTTAACATTCCACAGTACCCGAACGGGCAGTGTATATACCTCCCTAGGTTGTTAATAACCAACACCTAAAGACTTCACGGATTGATGACAGGCTTTAGGTTGGCCACTGACATTACACTCGTCGAAGGAGGCGATAGCTCAGCATTCACACCACGTCATTCCATTTACCTTCATGAGTTCCAAACAGTACAATTAGCCTAGACAATAACAGATGATCAGTCATCACAATAAAAAATAGACAAAAAACAAAACAAAAAGAAAACCCTCTTTGTACACACACACACACAACACTCACTTGAGCACCAGGATTTCTTGATAAACTTTTATAAATTGGATCAATATTATCAGCAATTGAATTAAAACAATTCATAAATGCATTGTATCTTAGGCGTCGAACACGTTCAAATCTTGCTTTGGCACGTTTAGCTCTACGTCGAGTATCTTCAAATTCAGCTTCTGTACACCTTAAACGTTCCTCTACATTGCCAAGTTTATCTCCAGCGCGTAAATTAGGCGCTTGTATACGTGCCAAGCTATTTAACATTGAATCGACTTGATTTTGCATTTCATCAGCTCTGTAATTTATTTTTTGGGGGTTTGGTGTTTTCGGAGAAATAGAAAGAGAGACATAAGAGAAGAATTACATTGAATAAACAAACGTAAATACATAGTAGTAGCAGTATTGGTCACTATGGTGATCACAACTCAAAAGGTTGTACAAAAATTAGAGAATATTGTACGGTAATTTGCTTTTTCGGTGGCACAGCGGTTAGAACGCTCGCCGACCATGCAAATGGCCTGGGGTTCGACCCCCGGCTGACACACTCCTTTACCTCACTAAGCCAAAAATAAAGCTGGTAAAGGGGAAAAGTTGGGTATGAAGCTACAGAAACTTTAAGTCTCCAGCTTGAAGCCCTATGTTCCACTGGGAACGTGAAGGAATAAAAAAAGAGTAGATAAAACACCTTAGAAGAACAACAAAGTTCAGCGAAGAGTCGTCTCTTTTGGCGGCGAATTCCTTTACTTAGCTGTACAATCACATTATTATTTATAGTTATTGTGTGTGTGTGGGGGGGGGGGTATTATTATTTTTTTTTTCATTTACAGCTTGATTCCACACCGTATTTTCAGTACAAGTATGGAATTTTCAGCATGGATATCGGTAGCCCAAATTCAGGCCGACCATAGATATCGGGTGTGCGCCGGCAGGGGATCGAACCCCGGACCATGTGCATGGTCGGCGAGAGTCCTAACCACTGTGCCACCGATGCACATTAGGAGTGTCAAGCAAAAATAAAAATTAGTTGGGGCTATTGTTGTCAAGACACTTCAAAAATGTGTTGAATAGTCAAACCGTAACTAGTGACCGGGTGTGTGAAGATTGGTAAGTATTGACAAAGGTTGAGTAATATAAAAGATGCTGTGACAGGTATTGACGAGGTGTTCAGTTATGGCGCTTCTGTTTGAACCAGGGCCTCCTCTTTGCAACCATGCTGGATGATGTTCTCTTACACATTTTGATAAGACCCGCATAGAATGAGCTATGTACTTAGCTCTACACGAGCACGTGAACTGATATATTGAAGTGGTCATATGTGGAAGTCTGTCCTTCCCATTGCTCCGAAGTAGTGGGCAGCTAGACAATATCACTCTTAGAGTTGCTGCAAGAAAAGTCTGCTGCAGCGAAATGGAGATTCTCCTTTAAAGGATATCTGCTGCTAGGTCTCCCCCGTGAATTCCAGATTCAAATAAACTATTTCCTCTGGCACTGAAGTGCATTCTTCTCTTTTTGACAATGGTTTCATGTTCATCTGCACGAAACACGGTGGGTATCCATTTTCAACCAAGATTCTTTTGAGAAATAGGAGTCTTTCTTCTAAACAGTCATCGCTAAAAATTCTTCTGATACGGTGGGCTAACGAGATGATGAAAGCTCTTATAAGGCTGATAGGTGTCCAACTGTAGGAGCTTGTCAGTTGGTCATTCCATGTTGGTTTTCTATGGTTAGGTCCTTTCAGAGTTCCGTCATCTCATCCTGTCAATTCGACCTCCAGGAATGGAGTCTTTGATTTATTTTCAACTTCAATTGTGAATTTAATTAAAAGGATGGCAGTTATTAAACTCCTGTAAGATACAATTTAAATCAGAATCATCTTGACAAACTATGAAAGTGTCATCGACGTTCATTCACTTAGCTGTACAATCGCATTGTTATTTATAATTATTCTGTTTGTGTGTGTGTACAATAGGATTGTCAAATAATAATAAAAAATAGTTAGGGCTATTGTTGCCAAGACATTTCAAAAATGTGATGAATAATCAAATTGTAACTATCGGGGACGGGGGAGTGAAGATTGGTAAATATCGACAAGGGTTGCGTAATATTTTATTTTTTTAAATTTTTGATTACAGCTTGATGCTACACCGTATTTTCAGTACAAGTATGGAATTTTCAGCATGGATATCGGTAGCCCAAATTTTGCAGGCCGACCATAGATATCAGGTGTGCGTCGGCAGGGGATCGAAACCCGGACCATGTGCATCGTCGACAAGAGTCCTAACCACTGTGCCACCGACGCACAGAAAAATAGGATGTTAATGAAGGAGTATGGAGACGAGTGTACAAAATGCATCATACAATAGGTAGAAAGAGTCAATGAAAACCCTCTCTTTACTCAATCTACTTATTAAATAATTTGTTTTGGACACGTGTCTTCATTAAAATCCTATTTCATATTACGCAACCCTTGTCAATACTTATCAATCTTCGCTTTCCCCTAGTTACAATTTGATGATTCATCACATTTTACAAACATTTTGATGACGCAAAAAGTAGTCCCAACAAATTTTTATCATTGTTGAACAATCCTAATGTACACACACAATAAATATACATAAATGCAACTGTACAGCTAAGTGAATGAATTCGCCACCGAAAAGAGACTCTTAGCTGAACTTTGTTGTTCGTATATTCATGTCTGGATAGGGTATTTTCAGTGAATTAAAGCACCCTCTCTCTCTCTCTACTTCGGCTATCTCCTACGGAAGGATGAGCCGGCTTCATGAACATCTCGAATCATCGCTGCCCAGGCGCGGCGATCTGATGCAAGAGAGTTCATGAAGTTTCACGGGAATTTGGTACGAGTGATGTCCCCAGAATCGCTCGGCCTTTTGTTTGAGAGTGCAGCTCTAGCCTTTACACAACCAAGTGTGACCTACAAGGCAGTAGGAGTGGAGTAGGGAGTCCACTATCCATTGGCAGCCGGTGACCGGAGTTCGGTTCATACGCCTTTTTGAATGGGGCCAGACATCCAGGATATCCAACAAGCCCTTTGTCCATACGTCTGCCGGTGAGTTTCAGTGAGTTTCATACGCCAGTCGTTGGAGGTTTGGAATCAGGGTTTAGCCATCTCCCCTAGACTGTCATCCAATAGACAGTCAACCCGGTGAAGAGCGCCGGGCATCCGCTTTCGCCCTCTCACTTTGGTGAAAAACACCTCCGCCACGTGAAAGCAGTGAGTAGGACTTCCTCAGGAGAGGCTATGTAAGGCGCCCGGTCATATGGGGGCATTTCAAGAGGTGTGCGGAGGGGTGGCCAACCCTATGCAACATACACTGTTAACTGAATTCCAAAACAAAGTTATCAGTTGTTGTCTCAAGTTTTCTTAGACGAGCACTCTCATTGATGATAGTCGATAAGAAGGAAAAAGAAGAAGAAATATCAAACATTACTGAAATTTTGAAGAAAAATAACTACCCAAACACTTCTTCAACAAAATCAACACTGACATCAAATATGGCTTAGTGGTCTACGAGCTCGCTAGCCTTGTAACCAGAAGGTCCTGGGTTAGAATTCTGGAGGATGCGTACTGGTGGAGAACCCCAGACTAGGACGAAGTAGCTGTCCAGTACTCCCTGGTTTCCCAATGGTTTTCTAACTGATGTCAGCTCCTGGTGAAATCTGGAAAAATAGTATTCATTTCCTCAGAAATCATGGAGAACAAATTATTTTAAGCGCGTGACATATTCGATCGACTAAATATACAGTCGATGTCTGTCAGACACACCTCTTCAGTGAACCCAGAAAAACAAAAAAAGAAAATAGAAATAAACAGATGAAAAGAAATGGCGTTCGTGTAACTAACTATCTAGCAAGTTTAGTACTAAATAATCAATTTATTAAGCCTACCTTTTGCTAACTTCTTTTTCATCTGTCAATTGTCGTAAAGGTTTATCAAGTTGTTTGTAGTCAAGTGGTAAACGTGACTCCAATTCATAGATATGCGCCATTTCTTCACTACTTGGATCAGCATTTTCACTATCTGCTAACTGGTTATTCAATTCATGTACTGGACTAGAACCAGGTTTCAGGGGTAATTCCAAGTCTTCCATCTAAAATTTGCAAGGGGAAATATATTGTGTGATATTATGTAGACAAGAAAAGCCTTTTTCGACATTTAATTACATATGTGTACTGGGCAGATTGTTTGGAAAAATCCCTCCTGGACGTTCTGTTTATAATATTTATACTTAATTGGACATTTCAACTAACTGTGTAACTAGTATACGTTTTTTCTACAATAAATTTGCGTATCACAAGTTGATATTGACCTATATTAGTTGCCTTCTAATTCAATTTTAGATTTTCGCGTCAACTGATTGGACCGATGTGCTCGGTCTCAGGTTGACATGTCGGCTTCTTGTGCAGATGCTTCAACTCACTGGGGAATGCAGGTACATCCAGTGACGAGTCCCAAATAGGACGAAATGAGCATCCTGGATTCCACTGTTAGTCATCATCCTTTAATTAATTATTTTCCTTTGTCCTGGCTTAATCCTTTTGTTTTACTCCTTTACGTTCCCAGTGGAACACATAGGGCACGTTCAAGCTAGACGCTGGAAGTTTCGGTAGCTGTGGTATTCATTTTTTACAGGATGGGGTTGTGTGCCTCATGCCCAACCAACTTTCCCTCCTTACCAGCGTTGAAAATGGTTTGTGCGTCGATGGCACAGCGGTTAGGACGCTCGCCGACCACGATTTGGTCCAGGGTTTGATCCCCAGCCAACAGACGCACTCCTTTACCTCGTTCGCTAAGCCAGTAATAAGGTTGGGAATGAGAAGAGATTGAGTGTGAGGCTAGCAACCCCATTCTGTGAATAAAAAATGGCTTAATGATGTATAGGGGTGAGTCGGACGGGGGTCGAACCCCAAAACACCCGCGTGGTCAGCGAGCATTTTAACTCTGTGTCACCGACGCTTCCTGATTTAATCTTTAATTGTAATACTTCCCTTTGTGATTGTGTGTACAATGGCGATATTTTCTTTAACTAAATGACTTCGTTTGAGTAAATAAAAGTCATTCTGACCAGGGACAGTCTGTGGGAAGCATTGATGTGCGATTCATAAGGACGGATCCCACTTTTGATCCCCTCCCCGCGTTAGGAATATTCCCCTCAGTTCTAACGTACTTTTTACCGTCGAATAATCTTGGTTAACTAATCTTGTCTTACAGTACTTGCTTTATGCTTACAAAACCTACCTCACAGTATTGTTGAGGTAAATGTGAGTTTTGATGTTATGATTGCTGTCAAATAGAACCACTAAAATATTGGAGAATAATCGCCCTTTCCATGAGTTTGGAAGTTTCTCATGATAGCACGTATCTCAAAGAAGCTTTATCGGCTATACCAGTAGAACGTAGCGATTAGTTTCTTGCGTTCAAACCATAATGGAATATACTTGGTCGTTACAATATGTTCCATAAGTATACATCAACTAATTAAAATGTTATCTGAGTTAATTAAAGTATTAGGTAATGTCTGGGAATATAAGATAGTTCCGATGGACTAGTATACATTATCGATTATCCCAGTTTATAAGAAAAGAGACAAATACTCCTGTAACAGTGCGTCGGTGGCACAGTGGTTAGGACTCTCGCCGACCATGCACATGGTCCGGGGTTCGATCCCCTGCCGGCGCACAACCGATATCTATGGTCGGCCTGTAAATTTGGGCTACCGATATCCATGCTGAAAATTACATACTTGTACTGAAAATACGGTGTGGCATTAAGCTGTAATCAAAATAAAAAAATAAAATGATATGTCTCAGAAGTGTTCTCAGCGGCGCAGATTCATTCACTCTCTGTGAACTCTCACATCCAAAAAGAACCCTATTCGTTTTCAAAGTTGCTATTCTTTCGCTACCACATTTCTGCTTACTGTCATTCTTTCGAATCTTTGTATGCTATATGGAGTATGGCAGTTCAAACTAGTGCATTCTGTGCAATGTTCTACGTTGAAACAAGTCCAGTCAATCATTCCGTGATAATCATAGGGGCAGCAACCTTGACTACTACGGTATCCAAAGTTCTAGTGTGGTGAGATCTGGCTGCTAGCAAAAGTTGGTAGACAGTAATTGACGTCAATGTTTATGTCCCCAATATTGGTGGTGAGAAAATGAGAACAAAGGCTTTGCGTAGGCGGATACAGTTAGCATATGGATGATCTAACACAGCCACAAAGAGATGCAAGGTTAACTTTCTGTGAGAAACAACCAATCAAAAGACTGTATTTTCTACTAACAATAATCTACAATAATGTACATTAAAATCTATAAATGTGTTGATTTTCCTTAATAAACGATCTGTTGCCTGGTCCTTGTCTTCTGTTGTTACACTAGGTTCAATAATCATAACTTGACTAAATGGTGCTCCGGAAGTAACACACCAAGAAAGCCTAGGCAGACTTTAGGACAGGAACAAGGTACATTGATCATACCTTCATCTTTCGACAGATAGTGGAGCATCCGCATACTTACCAGCATCCATCAATTGCTAGATTTCTTGACCTCAAAGCGGAATTCGACTCTATTGGCCAAGAAGGTTGTCTGGAGAATTATCAAATCAAACCAATCAAAGCACTCTAATCTGAATCACGCAGCTGTGCAAGAGCTTGTGAAGAGTTTTGATAACCAGTAATCTCCTTCAGGGATTCCCACTGTCTCTATTTTTGTTCGGTTTCATTAAAGATAGATGTACTACTGATGGAATTGACCCTAGCTGACTTTGAAGATTTAAGGATTAACTTTCTTTCAGGCGATAGTCTAATCGACTAAAATGTAGGGACTTCTGAACACATTATGCAGAAATCTTCAAATATTCGCCGTGCGAATAGCTCCCTGCCTAGCTGAAAGATAGGGAGTGTAGTGATTGAGCCTGTTGACCATTTTACTTATTTGGGAAGTTGCATTAGCACCAGTCAACTCATCGCCGATGAAATCTCAGAAAGGATACAAAGGTCTCTTATGGCAACTGCAAAATTACATCATCTCTGGCCTAGATGTGGTATCCAGCTGTCGATTAAACAATATGCGTACTGCAAAGAGTTTCTCTCTGTTCTTCTTCATGGCTGTGACACATTAGTATTGAAGGTGGGAGACATGAAAAACCTGGCTAGATGGCTTTGGCCACACAGATGTTTGCGCGTTCTATCTCACGTGTTAAGTGGTATAATAGGGTGAGTTATATGGAGGCGACGTTCAATGTCCGTCGTTCCCACTTCTTATTAATTTCATGATAGATGTTGTACTAATGAACTTAATCCTGACTGGCTTCAGAGACTCAGGGATTGACTTGTTACCACAAGGGAATAATGTCGTTGGCTTAGAATACGCAGATGATATAGTTCTCCCGTCTAGGTGAAGATGCCCACAAAAAGCAGAGTCTTCTGGACACCTTGAGGAGATAATCTCATGTCAGATATGTAGGATGATGCCACAGAACTGAACTACCTTGACTCATTCCTAGCTTAAAGATAGGTGGGAGTGAAGTGGTAGTGGCTGACGGTGTTGACCACTTGACTTATCTGTGAAGTTGCATCCGCCCCAATCTACTGAATGCTCACGAAATCTCAGTATAGATACAAAACTCTGGTTTGACCTTTTTCAACCAACTTACGCCATCTCCGCTCAGTAGCTCACTCTGTTCTCCCTTATGGCTATGTTCCATGGTCATAAAAAATGGAAGACATGGAAAGGCTGAATAGTTTCCGTTTACTACAGATGTTTGCGTTCTGTCTCGAGTGTTAAGCGTTGAGTACAGCTGAGTTTCGACGTACAGAGTCAGGTGATGTTAGGAAAGTAAACCTATCATATTGTGGAGCTGTTTCAATTGAGGAGGCTAGAACACATGTTACCCAGGCTAGGCGGCTATTGTCTTTCTCATCAAACAACACTAGAAAAGAGTGCCGGGGAAATCAAAGCATGCCATCAGCCTATGAAGTCTTTGGAGATCTAGGCTACCTCTGAATGAGGTTCATAGGACGAAAAGAAGCCAAAAAAGTCACCTACTTTAGCTGCTTGTAAGAGTGAATGTCGTTCAGCTCGTCGAGTTTCTAGTTTCGCTTCAGATTGATTCAAATCTTTTTGTAGTTTTTGTATATCACGTTGTTTAGTGACTAGTCGACGACGAATTTCACCCAATTCACCGTCTAGTAATTCAGCACGATATTTCAGTTCACCACCACGAGATTCAATCTCTGCTTTCTTACTCTCTTCTTGTTCCATTTCTTCTTTGATTTTTTTCTCTTGTTTTTTACACTTTTCCATTTCAGCTCTTTCCATGGCCACTGCATCCTCCCAACGTTTAACACTAGCTGTTACGGAATAAAATAAAAAAACAGGATGAGAGACTGTGATTAGTAGTCACATTTTAGCAAAACCAATAGTGTACTTCTACTGTTTAATGTGCGTCGGTGGCACAACGGTAGAATGCTCGCCGACCACGGATATGGTTCGGGGTTCGATTCCCGAAGAACAGACGCACTCCTTTACCTCGCTCGCTAAGCCAGTAATAAGGCTGGTAAAGAGGGGAGGTTCAGTATGGGTCTAGCAACCCCATTCTATAAAAAAATAATCATCACTGCTACAGAAACTTCAGGCCTCTAGCTTGAAGGTGCTCTATGTTCCACTGGAAACGTGAAGGAATAAAAAAAATTTGTTTAATGTAGAATTATTTTCACATATTAGACTACAGGCCACTCGTTTTATGTGTATGTGAGTGAGTGAGTTTCAACATAAAACTTAGCACAGAAGTGCAGCAGTTCGAGTGGTCAGACTCCATTTGTAACAACAGAAGATAAGGGCCAGGCAACAGATCGTTTATTAAGGAAAATCAACACATATTTATAGATTTTAATGTACATTATTGTAGGTTATTGTTAGTAGAAAATACAGTCTTTTGATAGGTTGTTTTTCACAGAAAGTTAACCTTGCATCTCTTTGTGGCTGTGTCAGATCATCTATATGCTAACTGTATCCGCCTACGCAAAGCCTTTGTTCTCATTTCTTCACTATCAATATTGGGGACATAAACACTGACGTCAATTACTGTTTACCAACTTTGGCTAGCAGCCAGCTCTCACCACATATTTACCACACAAACGTAGATGAAATAGAGGAATGAAAAACGATAATAAACAAGGATGCGAATAAGAAAGAACATTAACATGCCTAAACCAGACGATTAAGTTTGACGGACTGACTGACTCACTGATTTCACCGCAGAACTCTGCACCGACGTGCAGCAGTTCGAGTCGCTATATTCCACGGAGCACAAAAAGCAGGAGAAGAGAGTATAAAAAGACTCAAAAAAGAGAGATAATAAACAGAGATATAAGGCAAAAAGAATAGTTCTGACGAGTTGATCACAGATTGATATCTAATCCTTACAAACCAGCTATTGAAAATTAATTCGATACTCGCTAGTGACTCGCTACAGGATGGAGTGTTCTGGAGTTCTAGTGAGAAGTCATGACCAGTCAGATCCATTCAGTCAAATGTGTGAAGGTGGATTTCCCACCGATAACATTGGACGGTGGTCGCGCTAAATCATGAACTGGTAGTAGTTAGAATACACGGTCTGGCTATCGGGTTGGCGGATACCAGTGGCTGCAACCAGAAGGTCCCGGGTTCGAACCCGGGCGGTGAGTGCGTACTGTCGATGATTCCCAAGCTAGTGGGAGGAAACAGCTGTCCAGTACTCCCTGGTTTTAAATGGTTCTCTAACTGATATCAATCCGTGATCAACTCGTAAAGAAAAATCTAATCTTTACAAACTAACTATTGAAAAAAGAATAGTAATATCGAAGAACCATAGAGTTTTATTGGAAATTATAAGTCAAAAGGATGCATCTGCGCCAGCCATTGGGAATGATTTTGAGGCATATCATCAATTGTCTCCAGTCTTCATTGGTTTTTACCATCCCGAGGATCCCAACCAGACACAAAGTCTTCACCTCCCTACGTGACTGATTTAAACCAACTGTTGTGGATTTCATTGACCGATGAAGCCATGTTCTGGTTTGACCACTGCTAGCTTTTTACCAGCTTGACCCTATGTCAGTTAACACTAGCCGTCGAGGAAGGCGATAGCTTGGCATGAACGAAGTGTGTGTGTGCATAGAACCAAATAAATATCAGACGTACAAGCTGGACGGTTTAATGCTTAAACAACATGGCCCTGACCTTTAAGACACACGAAGTAGGAATATCAGACGAACTTCTATATGACACTAAATAATTCAAAGATTTGTTCAAAAAAAATTGTGAATTGCGGTGCTCAAGAATTATGTAATTTAGTGATCTTCGACTAGAGCATAAACTGCACTATCTGTATCTAAAAGACTGCAGTCTTCAGCTTATTCTCTAAAATAAATCTCTAAGTAGAAAAAGAACCACATGCATGCGGAGACGGCTGCGTATAGGATACTGTAACAATCAGCATCCATACCCCGGTTGAGCAATATGTCGATTAAAGGTGATGAGTGATTTTTTATTCAATGAAGGTGTATTTCAACGTATTTGAGAAATACAGAAATACCTACACATAGAAGAACAAACGATAATCAATACCTTTGGACTTAAAGGCTTTGACTGGTAAAACTAACTGGGGATAGTAATACGTGAAAAGATGAGTTTTCAAAAAATCATTTATTGGTCAAAGTGAAAACAAGAACAAGACGATTACACGGTGGAAAGATATTAATAGGATGCCTTTGATTGATGCTCCCCCCTCTCTCTCTAAATCGAATGACCTAAGTGATGTGGGTATTTGTAATTCTGTAACGACTCAAGTCTTCATTTTACAGCTTTATTCAGTATACCATGAAATAAATAATTTTGAGGCAAGAATTAATTTCCAACGTATCTCTCAATGTGACAAATCTCACTGTCATGGTTGGTATGGATGCTACAATGAATTTTAGACATTATTCAAATACGCTAGGTGATAAGTCCCTGAAGTGCATCAGTGGCATAGCGGTTAGCACGCTCACCAACTATGTACATGGTCCGGGGTTCAATCCCTGGCCACCGACGTACTCCTTTACCTGCCTTGCTAGCCAGCAATATGTCTGGTGAAGAGGGGAGGTTGAGCATGAGGCTAGCGACACCATCCTGTAAAAATAATCACCACTGCTACAGAAACTTTAAGCCTTCTAGCTTGAAGCCCTGTGTTCCACTTGGAACGTGCAGGAATGATAAAAAAGTCATCCCATAAACGACCTGGTACCCCTTAGGATGAGGAGACTTCAGTCTTCTTCTCGAAATGCTCTGATGTTGCCACGCGTTCACAACCTCTGCAGTGGATGTCCTATCCACTATCCTCAAGCGGAGGGAGTGTTACTCACAAAAGCAAATGTCTGGAGATTGTAACACAGCTGATGGACATGTTAGTCTACCTAGAGGAGGTGGAAAACAATCATTCCAAACCTATGGTGTACATGGATTCCAGAATCCAATTGAATCGAATGGCGCATGAACCTGTCTCAGTCAGCACCGGCTACCATGGGAACGTATCTCCTGACGCTGTTCCATTGCTTTGTGGATCAGACTTGAAGTGAAGGGCTCTGGGGCGACCCCTTAAGACAGCCACCTGCTTCAATCAGTCTCGGCATTTTGTCCATTGCACAAGCTATAGGGCTTTGTATGGCATGGCGTGGCTAAAAGATTCGAACCATGGGCCTCCACCTTGTTAGTCCGACAATAATAATATCTGAGATACGATGCCCAACCGGGAACCAGGTCACAGCTTCATTGTAATCACCATGAGTACTTCCAAGATATGTAAATGAATGACACTGTACTCATTGTTTATCACCCATCCCACTACGCTGAGGGAATGCCAAACTAGTAATTCAGAGGCTGCTGCTGGGTTCAACACCCCTGTGGAGACCCAGAATTTTCATCTCAGCTTCAGTCATCACTCACTGCGCAACAAAAACTATTATTATCCCAAAGACTATGATATAAGTAAAATGGATTGGGGGAAACCAACTCAAGATAGGCATGAATTAATTACACAACAAGGATGACAAATAAAGGTAGTCCAGTGAAACAAACCTTCTGTGTCCCGAGATCGTTCATATTCCAATTGATTATTAATTCTTTGCAGTTGATTTGTAAATTCAAGTCGTTTACGATCACGTTCACGTGCAACTCTTAATTCTCGATCTTCATATTGCCTATAAAGAATAAGATACATACGTGTATATACATATAGTCATAGTGATGACCCAAAAGCATTGAATATGCATTGATCTATTATTATTATTCACTGTACATTGAAGTTAAGAATATCACCAATGATATTGTGATGGACTGGATTATACGTCAGACTATGCAAAGGGAGTAAGAATACAGGAATACGCTAGACCGATAAGAAGACTCTCGAAGATCTAGATTTCGCATGTGAGTGATTTATATCTAATGTCACACGAACTCGAACACTTGCAAGTGAAAACCAACAAACTGGCTGAAGAGACAGGCAGCGAAGACAGAACTCCAGCTGCACATAGAGAAGACGGAGGCAATGAAGATAACCAAACAACAGTAACAACAACAACAACCAGCACCAGTCACTATCACAGGGAGAGATTTGACAAGGTTACTTCTTTCACTTATCTAGCAAATATAGTTTCAACTGCAGGCAACACCACAGCTGAATATGTCAAATCCAGAATCGCAAGCGCAAGGTACACCTTGCTCAATCTGAAATCAATCAGTACAAAGGATAAGATTCGGATTATCAACACAGATGTTATGTCAGACACTTCTTCTATATGGGTAAGAAACTTCGTATCCGCGTCACGAAAAGCATTCCAACAAGTTACAGCGTATCATAAACAGCTGTGTTCGCTACATACTGTAGATTAAATGGCTTGTCAGGGAGAATTAGCAGCAAAAAACTCTGGCTGGCTGGGAACAAACCAACAAGCAAGAGCCTAACCATCGTCTCCCCCGACGGGCATTACTAGCTGATATAGGTGCAGGTTGGAAAAGAGTAAGTGGTGGCCAAACAAAAACATGGCATCAGTCCATGAAATCCCTTGACAGTTAAACTGAGTCAGGTAGGGAGATGCAGACTTCCGGGTTGGGGCCCGCCCTCGGGACTCTAAGAATCAATCAACAGCTGGAGACAATAGGTGACATGGCTCAAAATCGTTGTCAATGGCTTACGCAGATGTATTCAGTCTCTTTAACCTTCATACTCCTTTCTACCATTACTCATTCTGTTTCACTCTTATACTTGTCAAAACTCTATTGATTCTCTTCACTCATTTTCTTGTCTACCTTTGTGTGCTATTTGGAACGTGGCAACTCGAACTGCTGCACTTCGGTGCCAAGTTCTATGTTGAATCCAGACAGACAGATAGAGACAGAACAAGCAAGAGCCGATCGCTCAACAAATATGTAGGAGAAAGTGGAGATGGATTGGACATCCGCCACTGAGGAGACCGCCGAATGGCATCACGCATAATGCACGCCATGAATCGAGTGGAATCCCAATGGGGAGCGATGAGTGGGTCGTTGGTTCGAAGGTGACATGGAGGAGATCATATGGCGAGGAGAAGATGAGAGATTATGGACAATCCTGGACTCAGATGAAGAGGAATGTATCGAATAGAACAAAGTAGATGTGTTGTTGAGGGCCGATGTTCCACTCGGAACTCAAGGGGATAATAAAAGTAATAATAATATATTATTATTACTACTATTCACTGAGGTACTTAATTTACATAATCAGCTAGCCTCAAGCCCAACATTCTCTTATTTCCTGGATTACAAGCGACTAGTAAACTAGGCGATCTTCACGAGTGTGTCAAGCAGTAGCCAAACCCACACCTTTCGATTGGCTACTGATCATTCCACCATTAGACAACTATCTGTAGATTTATATATTCTATGCGGGGTGAATCAAAGGAGCAAGTGTTAAACGAAACTCCATTGGATGTGGTGACTGAAACACGGCACACAAGTTGAAAGTCACCACATCAAATCTAAGAATACAATGATATGTACATTATGAATTCGCTGAGGTTCTGAATGGAACATAAGGCTTTAGCACCATATCTCCAATTCACAACACAATAGAGACGTTTCTCTGAGACGATATGTTTTACTCGAAGCGCAAACAATGAGCAATAATAACAGTTTGGGTCTTGAAAATCATAGTGAATGGCACTGAGTGGTTAAGATAGTACCGAGAATCGTGGTACAGAGTAGTATTTGACTACTCAGCATTAGTGAGTAGTATAGATTTTAAATTTCTTACTGGCATATGATACTATTAATGAAGGTTTTGTAAATTATACTTAATGCTTTAAACCCTCGAAATGGAAAATATTATGAAATTTGCAATTATTCTTCACATTCTGCACTTATTTGGATTTATAGTTAGCTGATTCAAGCACTCGACTTTCACTGTTTCTACAAAAAACGTAGTTGTTCATGCAGCTAGAAAATACTATCTGTTCTGAGTTAGGTATACGTAAATGCATGAAGTATTTTTGGTGGATGGTGACTAGCAATATTCCAACCCATTTGGGACTCGTCAGCTAGATGTACACCCGCATTCCGCAGTGACTGATGGTGTTCCCTCTACTACCGCTCGAACCCAGTTACCCGTCATTTCATAGACTCAGTTGTGATTTTCACATCTAGTGGATAACGCCTAGACGTTTGAAACGATGGGTACTGGGTTCAAGCATCAATAAGGACGAACACCATCACTCACTCACTCATTGAAGAATGCAGGTAAATCCAGCTAATAGACGAGTCCCAAATAGGAGGAAATGCCCATTCTAGTGGATTCCACTGCTAGTCACCATCCATCAAATTACTTCAGGTTAAATGCACAGACATCGTCGAAGCAACCGCGTACAAGCAGCCGAAATGTCAACCAACAAAGACTGAATAATTCGGTCCAATCAATCAATCAATGCATAGATTATTATTAATATTTCCTTTAATTCCTAGAGGAACATAGGGCTTCAGCCGTGCGTCTCCATTGCATTCGGTTCTCTGCTAGAGTCTTCACCTGGCTCCAAGTCTACCCACACGTTTTCATCTCCTCTTCATATGACCCCCTCCAAGTCACCCTTGCACTGACCACCAACTCGCCGCTTCCCTTTCGGGTTCCACTCGAGCAATGGCCTGGCGTGTGATGTCACTTGATGGTTTCCTCAGATTACGAACAATCCATCTCCATTTCTTCCTGTCTATTTGTTTCACAATCGGTTTCTGGTTGGTTCGCTCATTGCCAGAGATCTCTGTGGCTGATCTTTTCTGACCGGCCATCTGATCTTGAGTATTGAGCGAAGACAACTGTTAATGAAGGTCTGTAGTTTGTTTGAGATGCTCTTTATGTTGTTGTCGCTTATTGCCCTTCTTGTTGTGAATTACTTTCCTGTACTGGTGTTGTTCTGATTGTTTTATTCCTTGTTTTCCTGGTTTTAAGTGGAGCAACGCACAAGGTTGCTTCTCTCTAAACTATATTTTAATGTAACAAGCCCCCTTCTCAGGAGTGAGGCTAGCAACCCCACCCTGTAAACAAAATTGCTACAGAAACTTCAGCACGATGAATCTCATCAATGGATAAAACAAAATTGAATTAAAATTACAAATGGTAAATGCATATAGACAACTAAATAGTCAAACGATACTTCTACTCTGTGTTGAATTGTATCACCATAGTGTTCAGTCAAAGCTCTCCATTATCCCGTAAAAAAGCTGCCTAATATTAATTAGTCATATGCATCGAAATCAATACTCACACATTTAACACCTTGTTGGCATGTCATAATCTATTCAACTTCTCAATCTTTTTCATTGATCTAAGATAAAAAATTATCGATTTTTCGTAAATTATTATGAGAACTGATTAGTTGCTTGGAGCAGCTTTTCTCCTCTACGAGGCTACGAGTTACATTTAATGTGGTAAAGGCTCTAATGATTCTAGTCAGTTTCCCATAATACCGAAGTAGGTGGAAAGGAATCGAAACTCGAGACCCACTAGAGCTAGCTGAATTTCGACCCTGTAGGATCTGGAATTCACAGATCATCTGTGGCTGATGTCAGACAATTTTCAAGATTTACAGGTGAAAACCAACAGGTTAGCAGAAGAGACAATACACAGAGGACCCAATTCAACAACGACAAACATCAATCACTACCAAATAGAGGAATCTGCAGGAGGTCACCCCCTTTTCCCATCTACACAGTATCATCCCAATAACAGGCAGCAGGGGTGGGGATGTCAATACTCTAAAGTCCGTATAGAAATCTGCTGTATTCAGGCATAGGAAACAAGATCCAGACCTTCAACATTCATGTCAAGTCAGCCAATATGCTTCTACATTATTGCTCAGGAACTTGACGCGCGCATCATCGAAAGCATTTCCAACAACCTGCAGACTTTTATGGACAGCTGGCTGCACTCAATACTGAAGATCAGACGGCGAAAAGGAAATCTGGTAGTGTAGGGAATCAACCAAGAACCTATCGTGCAACTACTATGCCCAAAGAAATGCAAACAGATTGGACGCACGAGTGATAAAACGCCCCAGGCCTTCAAGTGGGACCCAGATAGGAAACGATAAGTTGGGCGTCCAAAATGTTTGGAAGATTCTTTTAAGAGGAGACGCTGGCTCATAGACAATAATAGAACCGGCTAAAGAGGATTGAAGTAAACAGATGTTGAAGCCCTGTGTTTTTCTACTCAGAGCGTAAAGGGAGTGATAATAATAATGATAATAATATAATGTACGTTCATCAAACCTTGTCGTATTAATAACTACAGACAGAATACATATTTCGTCGCACTAACCTGATATTTTCAACACCAATTTGTACACAGAAATCATGAAATACAGTATCCTCTACAGTATCCATTTTTGCCTTTTCTGCATTCACTGATATTTGTAATTCTTGCATTTTAGTCTGACAACGTCCTAAATTTTCCTATACAAATAAACAAATAAATAAATAAATAAAGATGGGATGAATTCGGAATAATATTCATTTATCGAGTTTGACGACGGATTGATATCAGTTAGAGAACCACTGAAAACTAGACGGAACTGGACAGCTGTTCCCTCCCACTAGTTTGGGTATCATCGGCAGTACGCACCCACCGCCAGCATGTGAACTCACGACCTTCTGTTTACAAGGTGAACTCGTATACCATTCAGCCACTGGGACCCGCCAATCCGATGACCAGCCCATGAATTCTAACTTCTACCAATTCTTGATTTAGCGCGACCACCAACTAACGTGAACGGGGGAAAATCCATCCTAACTACCGACTGAATGGATCTCACTGGTCACGACTTTTCACTAGAACTCCAGGAAACTCAGTCCTGTTGCGACGGCAGAAGAAAAGGTCAGGCAACAGATCATTTACTAGGGAAATCAACACAAATTTATAGATTTTCATGTATATTATTATAGATTATTGGTAGCAGGAAAACACAGTCTTCTGATTGTTTTTTTCTCACTGAAAGTTAATCTTTCACCTCTTTTTGGCTGTTTCTTGAATGTCAGATCATCTATCTGCTAATTGCATCCTCCTACGCAAAGCCTGCTGTGATTGCTTGTTGAGTCAGTCTTTTGCAATTAATAGTGTTCTCTGAGCTGGTTGGTTTAGTTGCGAAGCTTTCGTCGTCCTTCTGGACAACATCTTCAGCGCCATATTTAGCACAAAGTGAAATGTTTTAAACTTTCTTCATGAGTGATAGAATTGCATCTCCCAGTAACCATCTTTACATATGTATTGACCATTTTCTATTGACTGAGATTTTAAACTTTCTGGTCACCTGATTTACTTTTCATTAGTTGGTATATTTCATCTATATTAACGTGTTTGTTAATTGCATTTTCGCTTGAGTACCAGGCTTCTAGGAATTCCTTGACTGCACTTTTGGTGTTTCCTCTGTCTAAGAATTTGACATGATCCCAATCAAATTGATGTCCATAATTGTCTGTATGCATTGATACTAAAGAATACATATCACAATCCAAGAACATAAATCAGCCGTGAAAAGACACGATATGTATTCTTTAGTATCAATGCATATAGGCAATTATGGACATCAGTTTGATTGGGATAATGTCAAATTCTTAGACAGAGGAAACACCAAAAGTGCAGTCAGGGAATTCCTAGAAGCCTGGTACTCAAGCGAAAATGCAATTAACAAACACGTTAATATAGATGAAATATACCAACTAATGAAAAGTAAATCAGGTGACCAGAAAGTTTAAAATCTCAGTCAATAGAAAATGGTCAATACATATGTAAAGATAGTTACCAGGAGACGCAATTATATCACTCATGAAGAAATTTAAATCATTTCACTTTGTGCTAAATATGGCGCTGAAGATGTTGTCCAGAAGGACGACGAAAGCTTCGCAACTAAACCAACCAGCTCGGAGAGCACCATTAATTGGAAATCATCCACCTGAGCTGAAAATCTTCTCTATTATTTCAGAGTCAGTCTTTGTTCTTGTTTTCACATGACCAATATTTGGGAAGTAAACACTGACGCAAATTACTCTACCGATTTGGCTAGCAGACAGCTCTCACCACACTGTAGCCAGTAACTTAGTGAGCATCAGATATCAATCCGTGGTCAAACTCGAAAAACCAAACCTAATCCTTACAAAACAACTCTTGAAAAATATTTATTTAGTTTAAATGTTGGAAAAAAAGAAAACTGAAATCAGTTACTGCTGAACTTCACATGTCAACATCATCTAGAAAATAAACTGCATGAACTGTGATAAGCACTACACACACACACAAACTACTAGTCAAAGTTGCCATCCTTATCAACTCCAAATTTAAGGAACATACACCAGATTTCAAAAGGCGCGACAGGTATTCTCCTGCATATGAACATGAATATATATACTGACAACTATGGATGCCAGTCTGATTGAGAAAATATAGGAATTACAAACAATGGAATTGTGGTGGTGTGATACAGACAATGTGTGCCAATGGAATAGTATTCTCACATATTCCCACAGTTCAATACTGTGTTAGCAACAGAATACTATGTATATTTGAACATTCTATTTTATGTCGTTTAATGTGAACCAAAATCACACGCTCAGTGATTGGTTAAAGAATATAAAGCTGTATATAATATATAAACAGCGGTTTGGTCAATGAAAAATATACCTTGGCTTCCGTGTCTTGCCTTCTACTGTTGTTACAGAATCACTGAAATTGCCGGAGTGATCACGAACTGGCATCAGTTAGAAAAACCATTGGAAAATCAGGGCTGGAGTACTGGATAGCTGTTTCGTCAGCCTAGTTTGGGACTTTTCAACAGTACACACCCACCACCAGGGTTCAAACCCAGGATCTTCAGGTTACGAGGCGATGTCGTAGAACATTCAGCCACTGGGACCCAACCCAACCCGGTGGTTCAATGAATCGAAGGAGTATTTCTCAACGATAAGCAACAATTTAAGGACATCATGAGAGGAAAACAAGTAAGCCGTAAAGGTGTGTTTCACTTACGTCAACTTCTTCTAATTCACGAGCAATTTGATTCATCTCCTCTTCATTTGTGCTAAGAAGTTTTTCTTCCTAAAAAGTACAGGGGGGAAAAAGTTAGATAATACTATGTTTAAATTCACAATTACAATTACAAACAGTTGCACCATGATTCACGAAAAATACCCATTCATAATACGTGGAAATAAAGACAAATAGTTCAGCGAAGAGTCGTCTCCTTTCGACGGCGAATTCATTCACTCAACTGTATAATCGTAACTATATATATATTTAAAGATAAACTATCGCATTTGACCACTTCCATGTGTATCTACCAATTCCCTTGCTCCTGTGGAGCGAGACATATATGTCGTTCTATGAAAGTCAAGGGAACATTATCGTGCTTGGTTACGAAAAGGCAAGAATGGATCAATAAAGTAGTGATATAATTGAACATATAATCAACACTGGTCAGTAAATATGTAGGTAGAATTCATTCAAAGTTATCTACAAAGTTAAAAGAAGCCTCCCGAAAACGGTAGGCTTTCGTATACTACGTGCATTGTCGAGGTCTTAGTGATTTCGATGGGTGGTACTTTGTCTCCATGGTCTTTCACTAGCATCCAACTTTTCTGGACGTTTTCAATTTGCGAAATCTCAGTCAAGACTTACTGATCTCCACCCCGACCTCCCGTCACCTAGTTACAATTTTGATTATTCATCACATTTTTTGAAATATTTTGATGCCCTAAGCGATAACTCAGAGTAATTTTTATTCTCCTTTGACAAATCTAACGTGCACACACACACATACAGAAATAATTGTATATAATTGCGACTGCACAAGCTAAGTGAATGAACCGGTCGTCGAAAAGAGACTCTTCACTGAACTATTTTGTGCCTAATTGCATAACTGACAACTGATAATTAGCTCAGATAGACTATTAACCACTACAGAACCTTGTACAAGGACATGTAGAATTCTAGTCATCAGAAGTTACACATAAAGGTTGAGGGTCACCGCAACAACATTATGAACAAGATAGTGAAATTCATAACAATATCAACAAAAACAGCAGATGTGATGCCAGAATGCATAGTGAAGCAATAATATTCAACAAGGGTACATAGTTACCCAGACATTTTGCAGGTGAAGATACTCGTCGCTATTGCATACACGATTAGTAGACAGTGGTTTCGTCCTCATTTGGGACACTTCCGTCAAAACGCACGCATGATTGGGAGCTGTGGTCTAGATGCTCGACTACACTAACCAATAGGTTATGAACTCGACCCTCACTTCACCTACCAATGGTTTGGGGTGAACAGAAAGTATCATTAACCCTTACACAACAAATAGGTGGATTTGACCAGATGGATAACCACTCCTCTCACATGATGGTCGAGCTTGCACATATTTATGGCCAACATTTGTTGGAACGAGAGTTTCTACAGGTTCTGCTATGCCAAAAACGTCGTTTTTATGGCGTTTAAACTTAAAGCTTAAGTCACTTACACTACATTGGGGGGGGGGGGGTCTGTGAGTGAAGTCCTACTGCTGGGGAATAGGGGGATGTAAAAGCAGTAAGGTGTGTCCCTCGGACGACTAGACTGGCTAGCAACGCCACCTAGGGGGTAAAGAAAAGGCCGAACCGGAAAAGTGTACATCTTCACTTACCCTGCAGTGGTTTGTAACCGACGGTTAGACCTCCCCATACGGACACAACTCCAAGAAAAACACTTCAAACAGACTGTAGTATGTGATCGGCCTCAAGCAGTTGTTCTCCTAGCTCTGCAATCATACAACACTAATGCTCCTCCTGTTTAGGGAGGACAGAAAGCAATAACACCCACACAAAGCTCTCCTAATGATCAACACCCACACTCGGTCAGTCAGCATGGATTTATAAGTGATGGTTAAGGAACAATTTCTACACCTTCTGCATACAGCAAAGTCTGCACAAAACAGAATACATGAAAAGGCCGACTAGTTGTCTTTGATCATAGGTGTCTGCTTTCTATCTCCCATGTTATGTGGTAGGTATAACAGGGTGAGTAATCCTGAGGTTAGGCATAGATCAAGTGGTAGGTAAGGAGGGAAAATCAATCAATGAGGCTGTGGAGCAATTGCGTCGATTGAGATGGTTAAGACATATGCTACGCATCCCTGCCTAGGCATCCATCGCCTTCCTCGATGGGTAGGATCAGCTGACATAGGATTGATCAGATTGGAAAGTAGTTAGCTAGTGGTGGCCAAACCGAAACATGACTTCATCAATCAATCAAATCCATAACAGTGAGTTCCAGCCAGCCATCCACGTAGGAAGGTGTGGACTTCCATTCTGGTTGGGTTAGGATCTCCACCAATTGGCTGGAGACTATTGGGGATATGGCTGGCTCAAAATCCTCGTTCTCAATGATGGCGCAGATCCATATCCAATAAAACTCTACTGTTCTTCCACAATATTACTTCTTTTCCCTCGCTTACAATTATGTTTATTATCTCTCTCTCTCTCTCTTCTGAATCCCTCTTTACTCTCTTCTCCTGCTTTGTGTGTGGTACATGGAGGGACTGTGACAACTGGAGCTGCTGCACATATGTAAAAAGTTTTAGGATGAAAACAGTCAGTCAGTTAGCCGATATAATGAAAGACTGAAAAGGAATTATGTAAAAGCAGGTAAATCCAGAACACTATTCATACACTATTGGCTTACTACTTACTGTACTATCCTTATCTTTCAGTGTATACTTCAATCGAGTGTCAAGACCTTTAATCTGTGATTGAATAGTTCTCAATTCAGCTTCTTTTCTTTTACGTTTCAGCTGTTCTTTTAATTCATTTTGTAAAGCATCACGTTTTGACATTAATGTGCTGATCTGTTTTTCATCCCAACGACGTGCACGAGCTTTTAAATCACTTGAGATTAAAACAAAAATAATAATAATAATAAAGAAAACATTAAAATATTCAAAAGTAAAATCGAGGAAATATTTTTGTTTAAATCCATCACTTTTGAGTATTTTTTTTCACTCCATGACTACCAGTTTATGTGTTTGTCTTCATTTTTGAATATTACGTTGCTTATCGATCATGAATGCCCTTGTTATATACTTTTTTTATTCCTTTACGTTCCCAGTGGGGCATAGGGTGGCTCTAAGCTAGAGGCTTGAAGTTTCGATAGCAGTGGTGTTTATTTTTAAGGGATGGGATTGCTAGCCTCATACCCAACCAACCTTCCCCCTTTACCATTTTTAAAACTGGCTTAGCGAGGTAAAAGAGTGCGTCTGTGGGCTGGGGATCGAACCTTGACCACATACGTGGTTGGCGAGCATTCCTACCGCTGTGCCACCAATGCAAGTCCTTGTTATGTGGACGTTTTATATTCTGGAAACCATCATTTCTGACGATAATAATGAGCATAAATTCTCAGTTAGTTTTACCTTCGGCTGACATATCATATCAATTCTGTATTAAAGATAAGTATCTCATTTTTATCATTGTCTTAGTGGTTTTGATGTTGGTGACATAAATGTACCCTGATAATACGTCAGCGTCAGCCTACTTTAAGGTGTCGTGTACTCAGTTAGATATTCATCAGCTACAGACACATCTCTACCTCAGGCATTATCACGACGGTGGGCAAGAATAAATATACGACAGCGTGCTTAAAACTTGGGCTACCAAAAACTTCCATCAGTCTATTGCATATATTTTCTCTCAATCGGTTTGTTTTAATCGATTAAGATATGACCTCTAATGGTATTACCTACTCTGGTGTGTTTACAAGCTTCTGGTTTGCAAGTTCCTACTAAACTTGACGAAAGGCCTGATTGTGGGTGGCAACGTGTTCCAATATAACACGAGATAACTGTTCTTCCGTTAAGTCCTTAGGTCTCAAAAATGTACTTCTGAACAGTTGATATTAGATGGTTGGAGGCAATCGGCAGGAAGCCTTGGACCTAGATTTTGTGCTAGTTGGCACTTATCAGCAAGACATATCTGCAACCTTGAAGGAACACATGCTAACGTGATTGGTACAATTCAATTTTGCACACATTACACTATTTACTAACTAGTGTCCAATCAAAAGTGCTTCTGAACATCTTACAAGGTTGGCTTTCAACTAGATATCGTGGATTTCTTGAAAGAAGGAGACAAAGCAGATATATCATCATAATGGAATGGTTTGTGCTTCAGCTGTTCAGAGACCATCGTGTCACAGGATATACTGTTGTCAATTAATATTTTACTTGAAGATATTGTACGAAGTGAGGAAATATCATGCAATAAACTCCTCTGAAAATTCTGTACATCTTAAAAATACTGTCCGGAATAAAGATGTTATCCTTATTACATAGCTTACAACCGTCTTCGTACCTGGCACACAGTCAGTCATAAAGTCGCATGGTATCCCATCGCACTTAAAAGATCTATTTAACAAAACGTCACGAAAACACCATCAGAGCACCTGATGTGCTAGGTAGCCCCAACTCAATGAATAAGAATACCACAGCCGCTAAAACCAAAGAATAATGCACTTCGTTGTTACTACTGGAAACAACCTTACACACCTTTACTTTGTCACCTACAAACAAATTAATCTTATTTAATAAGGGAGAGATAAGCGATATTCATTTAATAATTGATAGCAGGAGTAACAGAGATAAAAAAAATACAGAAAAACTGAGATACTTACCTAGCACCACCAGAGATTACCCCAGATCGTTGAAACAATGTACCCTCTAGTGATACAGTCTAAATGGAGGCAAAATAAAAATACAATTTCAGTGGGGCGAAAAAAGCAACATTTCCATAAATACTAATTACTTGTTTGAATAAAAAATAACAGTTGGTACACGAAGGTGTATTGGACCGCCTATATCATCGTTGTTAAGAAAAGTCATATCACACATGTTCGATAATGTCATCTAGTCGACGCATTCTGATTTTTATCCTCTTCCATATTATCAGAACTCAGTTAACCTGACTGACTGGTTTCAACGTAGAACTTTGTACACAAGTGCAGTAGTTCGAGCTGCCACACTCCCCTCATGTACCACATACAACACAAGGGAACAGAATAGAGAGAGATAACAAACAAAAGTGTGGGTGAGGGAAAAAAAATAGTAATGTTCACCATATTATACTACCTAACATGGGAGATAGTAAGCAGACATCTATGATCAAAGACAGCTAGCCAGGCCTTTCATGTCTCCCGCTTTCAATGACCATGTCTCACTCACAACCATAAAGAGGGAGGACGTAGCGAACTGCTGCGCAGTACACATGCCCAGTTGGATATCACGTCTAATAAGCCGCGGATGGCGTAAGTTGGCTGACAAATGCCAAACGAGCCTTCTGCAACCATGCTGAGATTTCATCAGCGATCAGTGCTTTGGGCTGATGCATTTTCCAGATAAGTGAAGTGGTCAACACGCCCCATTAACCACTTCACTCCTGCTCATGTTTAAGCTAGGAATTAGTCAATGTAGTTCAGTCCTTTAGCATCATTCTACACATTTGGCGCGAGCGAATCGCATGCCAAACATTTGAAGATGGCAGCACAGCTCAAGGTGTTCACAAGACTTTGCAATTTATCAGTCGGCGTCTTCACTACCTAGAAGGACTATATCATCTGCATATTCTAAGTCAACGAGATTATTCCCTGGTGGTATCAAGTCAATCCTTGAGTTGCTGAAGTTAGTTAGGTTTACGTTCATTAATACATCTATGATCAAATTAAACAAGAATGAGGACAATAGGCATCCCTAATGTTGACCACTGGTTGTCACCACTTCAGATGACAACTCTCTGTATGCTTTTACCCAACTGGCTGCATGAGTTCTAGTAAAATGAGTGCCTTCATCAGCGCGATATATTTCCTCGATATTCCCTTCACAGCCAAACATCACCATTGTACCTCTACTCAGTTAACCAGGACAGATTTCTTGTGTAGCAGTCCAGTAGTCTTAGAGCTGTACATACTGATATAAGAGTTATAAAGAGTTAACCAATGGTGGTCAAACCAAAAACATGACCTCAACAGTCAATGAAATCCATAACAGTTAGTTTAAGAGAGTCACGTAGGAAGGTGTAGATTTCCTAACTGGTTGGGGTCCTCGGGATGGTAAAAACCAATAAAGACCGGAGACAATTGATGATATGGCTCAAAGTGATCGTTCTCAATGGCTGGCGCAGATGCATCTACTCCTTGTGATTTATAATTTCCAATACAACTATATTGTCCTTCTATATTACTATTCTTTTTACCTTATATCTCTGTTTACTGTCTCTCTTTTGCATTTCTTTTTACTTTCTTCTCTTGATTTGTGTCCTACGTGGAGTGTGGCGACTCGAACTGCTGCACATCAATGCAAACACCTTGAGCAACAATCTTCGTATATTTGCCATGCGATTCGCCCCTGTAAAATGTAAGATGATGTTGCAGGATTGGACTACACCGACCCCTAGATTAGAAATAGGAAGTGAAGTGGTAGAGCACGTTGACCACTTCACTTATTTGAGAAGTACCATCAGCCCCAAAGGGATGACTTCTAACGAAATCTCAGCACGAATACAGAGGGCTAGTTTCGCATATGCCAGTTTACGCCGTCTCTGGCGTAGACGTGATATCCGACTATCGACCAAAGGGCAGGTGTACTGCTCAACAGTCTGCTCCGTCCTCCTTTATGGCTGTGAGACCTGGCCATTGAGAGTGGAAGACACGAAACGCCTTGCTGGCTAGCTGTCTTTGATCATAGGTGCCTGCGTTCTATCTCCCGTGTGAAGTGGTAGGTGTAATAGAGTGAGCAATAATGCAGTTAGGCGTCGAGTGCTAGGTAAGGCGGGGAAATCAGTCAACGAGACTGTGAAATGACATCGACTGAGATGGTTAGGACATGTGTTACGTATGCCTAGTCATCGCCTTCCTCGACAACAGGCAATGTTAGCTGATATAGGTTCAAGCTGGGAAAGAGCTAGCGGTGGTCAAACGAAAACATGGCACCAGTCAATGAAATATACAACAGTTAGTCTAAGCCACGTAGGAAGATGTAGACTTCCTGACTGGTTGGGGTCCTCGGGACGGTAAAAACCAACGGTTGGAAACTATCGGTGACATGGCTCAAAATCGTTCTCAATGGGTGGTGCAGATGCATCCACTCCTTGTGACTTATGATTTCCAATGAAACTATATTGTTCTTCGTTATTACTATTCCTTTGTCTCACACCTCTGTTTACTCTCTATATTATGCATTTCTCTTACTTTCTTCTCTTGCTTTATGTGCTCCATGGAGTGTGGCGACTTGAACTACCGCACATATGTGTAAAGTTCTATGTCGGAAACAGACAGACATCAGTGCAAAGTTCTGCGTTGAAACCAGTCAGTCAACTACATCTACAATTATTGGTATGTTAAGCAAAAAAAGAACAAAAACCATAGTAGTGTAAGTAGTAGTTTTACTTCATTTCATTTCATTTCACATAATATATACACTGCTTACCTTTTTTCTATCCCCCATTTGATAAGCAACATGACGTGCATGATCAACAGTTTCACAGACCAGAGCATTACCACAGGCAAATGTTAACGCCTTTTTAACAATAATTGGATCACATTGAATGACATCAATAACTAAGTGAACATTTGGTGGGTCACTAATTTCACTATTAAATATTAAAAAAATATATACATATAACAGCATAAAGATGAGTATTATTGTCAAATAATTGATAATAATAATAACAGTGACTTTATTCTGAACAATGTTTAAACAAAGTCCAAAATTTTCAGCGGAGTTTATTGCACAATGCTTTCTCTTCGTAAAGGATCTTCAAATAAAAGATAAGATTTTCAAGTATTGGTTTGTAGGGATTTGGTTGATTGGTTACAGGATTTCATTATGAGCTGACATTGGTTAGAGAACCATTGGAAAACCAACAGGGAGTACTGGACAGCTGTTTCGTCCCACTAGTTTGGGACTCTTCATCAGTACGCACCCACCACATGGGTTCGAACCCAGGATCTTCTGGTTACAAGGCGAGCTCATATACCATTAAGCCACTGGGACCCAATCCGATGGCCCATGAATTCTAACTTCTGCCAATTCACGATATAGCGCAACCGCTAGCCAATGTCTTCGGCGAGTATTTTTCCTCACACCCGACTTGCTGCACCTGCTGGTAGAAGTTAGAATTCATGGGCCATTGGATCGGGTACCAGTGGCTTAATGGTATACGAGCTCGCTGGCCTTGTAACTAGAAGGTGCTGGGTTCCAACCCCGGTGGGTGCGTACTGTGAAGAGTCTCAAACTAGGACGAAACATCTATCCAGTACTCCCAGGTTTTCCAATGGTTCTCTAACCAATGTCAGCTCATAATGAAATCCTGTAACCAATCAACTAAATCCGTACAAACCAATACTTGAATATCAATGAGATGCTCACTAGCGACTGGCCTTATTCAGGTAGGTAGTTACCTGGGTTCCAGTGGGAAATCGTGACCAGTAGGGTGCAGCAGGTCGGGTGTGAGGACAAATACTTGCCGAAGACATTGGTTAGCGATTGCGCTATATCGTGAATTGGCAAAAGATAAGATTGTCAGTAAATAGTGTGACACAGTTCTTTCTATCTGACCTGAAGCGCGAACAAATCCATTATGTGATATCACTTCTTTAATCTCCACATTCGAGAATTACACGACGATATTTTCTTGAATGCCAGTTATAAAATGTTGAGGAGTACATTTCGTGAACCAAAGACACACCTCCTCAGGAACGCCCATCTCATAAGCTCCCAACCCACATAAAGGAAAATCTTTTTCCTCAAGTTTTGTAGAAAATTGTAAATCACCAGGTCGTGAATGTTTTAAATACTCGCCAGAGTAAGCAATTATCATACTATTAGAGTTGACATTTTACTAGATTTAAACAAATTGAATGAGAGAAATTATACGGAATATTATAATGATGGAGGTTTCTTTTTCGGTAGCCCAAATTTTAAGCAGGCCGCCACCAGTTATATATGCATACAAGTATTGTGGTAAGAGCTGTCTGCTAGCCAAAATTGTAGACAACAATTGACGTCAATGTTTACGTCCCAAATCGGGGTCATGAGAAGAAACAAGAACAAAGCCTAATCTTGAGGAACTCAACAACCAATCACAGCAAACTTAGCGTGGGCGGATACGATTCGCAGATATACTAACGGACTGTCTAAGAAACGCCAACAGAGAGATGACAGAAAAACCTTCAGCAAGAAAACAACCAATCAGAAGACGTTACCTCTCTGTTAACAATAAAATATAACAATACAGACAGAAAATCTATAAATATCTGTTGATTTTCTCAATAAACGATCTGTTTCCTGGCCCTTGTCTTCTGTCGTTACACCAGCAGCTTAGCGATCTGGATATTTGACAACATATATGACACCATTACCTCCACAGTAAATTAATATGATATAGGATGGTAAGAACTCGGTTACCTGATGTCGGGCTGTCAGCTATACAATACTGAACGTATGAGGTCTGATGATAGTACCTAACTGTTCAGAGTGAATTAGGTGAAGTGAGATTCGAATCCAGGATTCAGTTGGATGAATGCCGAATGTTTAAGCCAATGAGATACATCGATATGTAGGACACTAACATGGAAAGTGTTAAGGCGCAAGCGTGAAGTTATCGATTATCGGAATTTTGACTTCATTTTACAAAGGTTTCGCGGAAGTTTACTCCCTCTTCTCTACGTCTTTATTGTACATAACGTTATAACATTTTTCGACATAAAAATTCATAACATTAAACTGATAAAAAATTAATCCAGGGTGGGTGGTTCTATGCTAGAAGGCTTACCAACCCCACATACGTAGTCCCAGTGGAACAATGCACTCTTAAACCTCACCAAGTTTACTAATTCCGATAATAAACGCAGTACAGAGGAAGGATTCGACGTTAGGTTAACAACGCCATGCCGTTTGAAGCCATAGGTTCCACTACGAACTCAAAGAAATAACAAGAAATAGACAATTCAAAAATATAATTGAAATGTTGATGGAAGAAATTGGAAAGAGGTCAAGTCCTTCACTTATCTAGGCAGTAAGCATCGTTTCAACTACAGGCGGATGGCACAGATGAAGATGTCAAATTAAGAATCGATAGGGCAAGACAAACCGTAATTACTTCTTCACTAAACATTACGAAAAGCATTTCTAACAGGCCACTTTCATCAACAGCTGCCTTCGCTGGCTCCACATTGAAGATCAAATAGCCGTCCAGTCAAAAAGAATTAGCAACAATAAAATCTAGCTGGGAACAAACCAACCAAGAACCTATTCCTCAACAAATAAACGGAAGAACATGGAGATTGATTGGGCATTCACCACTGAGGAAACCGTCGAATGACATAGCGCACAGTGCAGGCCATCACTCGAGTGGAACCCCAACGGGAAACGACGAGTGACATGGAAGGGGCCAAGTGAGGAGGAGATCAGAGACAATGGGCAATTGTTGGATCAGCTAAAAATGTGGTGAGAGCTGGCTGCTAGCCAAAGTTGGTAGACAGTAATTGACGTCAATGTTAATGTCCCCAATATTGGTAGTGAGGAAATGAGAACAAAGGCTTTGCGTAGGCGGATACAGTTAGCATATGGTTGATCTGACACAGCCACAAAGAGATTCAAGGTTAACTTTCTGTGAGAAACAACCAATCAGAAGACTGTATATTCTATTAACAATACTCCACAATAATGTACATTAAAATCTATAAATATGTGTTGATTTTCCTTAATAAACGATCTGTTGCCTAGCCCTTGTCATCTGTTTTTACAAGAGGACTGCATCGGATAAGACAAAGTGGAGACGTGCTGTTTAAGTCATATGATCCACTCGGAATCCAAAGGAACAATAATAAATATAACAATGATAATAATCATAGAGTAATGATTAAGTAGACTTTTCTTACCGTAATTTCTCATCAATTGGTTTTACATCTAAAAAGTCAAGTGGTAAAAATGTCTCCGGTTCAATACGTTGATCTTTCATGTATTGAATACATTCTTTAGCTGTCTTCTCACTGTCACAAACTATAGCATCCATATACTTGCCGAGTACTTTAGTAATTGCAACTTGATAACGACGATGCGACGGTTGACACATTTCCAATAGTCGACCATGCTTGAAAATAATAATATTAACAAATATAATATAAATTAAAACAATTAGTCCCTTTGATAAATTTGAATAAGGCATTAAGAAGACAAATTTCCTATCCAGTATAAACGTTCCCTAGTGTGAAATGTTTGTTCTCAAGGTCCCGAAAAATATGCACGAGTGACACAGTGATGGATGAGTTTTATTAGCTAATGGTTATCCGGAGAACTTCACTTGTCACAGTAAAGAAAGACCACATCTCGAAAAGACAGCTTCTGTACCAAAGAAAGCTATGTTTATTAACCTACCATTCAAGGGTGATCAGATTATGCAGTTGACAGCTCAAAGACTTCGGTCAGCCATCAAACGCACATTCTACGCCGCATCTCTTTTTCCCCCAAACGCCGAACACTTTCGATCCCTGTACCTACGATTAAAGGACGAAATTCTGTGGACTCCACTTCAAATTGTATCTAAAAGTTCACCTGCAGCTGCGGTGACACCTATATAGGTAGAACCAATAGAATGTTCCAATGTCGTCGAAAAGAACATGTTCCAAAATGGCTACTAAATCATATAGAAAATCACCATGCGAGTAATCTGAATAGAAATCCAGCATCATCCATTGCAAAACACTTATTAGTGTCAGGTCACAAAATCAGTATTAAGGACTGTTTCACAATTATTTCATCACATAACTCTAATTCAAGGTTGGTTATTGAAGGTGATGGAAACACTTTGGACTAATCAAATACAGCCTAAAATGTGTGTCCAAAAAACAATAGACTTCAATCTTCGCCTACCCTGGACTACATGACCTATCTAAATATGATTGGTCATCAGTATGTACTTTTGTGTTTCTTATTTAACTGCGTAATTGTCATGAACTTTATTTTATTATTGTTAATCATGTTAGTTGTAAAGCGGTTGTAAAGAAACTACGAAATGATATCATCTCGCGAAATTTGTCTTCTTAATGCCTTGTTCAAATATAATATAATAAAATCTAAACTAATGTATTCTAACTACGTTACACAGTCGGAGCTATAGATCACTCATGTGTAAGCAGTTGGATTTTAGAACCTATATATGTATATATATATACATATATATATACCAAAGCTGTAAGAACAAGACTTGCAGTATCCTCTCTCTTTTTCACTCTGAGGAACACAGAAAACCGCCTAATTATCTGCGGGGAAATGAGGATATTGTTGGTATGAGACCTGATAAGGAGTCTGGAGTCGATATGATGAATAAAAGGGATTACTTAAACAATATGCTCACCATATTATTGATTGATAATGAGATCTAGAGGACCACGGTTACCTTCTCAAAAGCAAACTTTGTCATAAAAACACTATACAATCTTGTTTTTCTCACTTGGACGAAGATGTTCATGAGAAAACATAGTGTGAGATTACAATTTGTTTACTAGGTATGAGCTGTAAAAGCCAGTCGTTGCTATAAAATGATCTTTTAAGTGATTTATGGAGTATTCCTGAAGGCTGACCTTCCCCGAAAAGGGGAATTTTACCTTCTGATTCAAATTCCATCGTAAAAGTAATTGACAGATAAGGATTCCACTTAATAATTTCATCGAAAATGATAACAATATTAACCATCTATCTCAAAAACTTTGGATTAAATGATAATCGAATGTCGGGTGTAATCGATTTTTGGTTATGACTCTCAACATTAGCTCCAGGAGGACTACACTAGACATCGAATTCTAAATGAATAGTGACAGAAGTACGAAACACCTGTGGGATCTTCGGTTGATTCATTACCTGCTGACTGTTTTATATATTTCCCAATTAATACAGAAGTCGCTCATGCACCGGTGGAATTCTCGCCAACCACGCATATGTGGTCCGGGGTTCGATCACCGGCCAATAGACGCACTCTTTTACCTGGTTAAGCCAGTAATAAGACTGACTGGTAAAGAGGGAAGGTTGGGCATGAGGCTAGCAACCCCATCCCGTAAAAACAAATACCACTGCTACCGAAAGTCCAAGTGTCTAGCTTGAAGCCACCCTATGTTCCACTGGGAACGTAAAGGAATAAAAAAATGAAAGTCGCTCAGATTAGAAATGTTAAACATATGTAAAGTACCTCGATCACCAAAATGAACGGAACGGTGACTATCACAGAATCAACCTACGGCCATAACAGTAGCAAGGCTCCAAATCCACCGAACTAGCTATGCTACGAAGGAAGGTGAGACACACCCAGGTGAATTTAGCAAATCTGCACACAGAAATTGCTTACAATGAAGGCACCTTAAGTGTTCATAATTATCACATGTCTCCCTTTATTATTGTTCACTATACGGATTTGTCTCATTCTCAGAAAGCTACAAGATGAAATATTACTCAACAACCATGTAATAACTGCTGCCTCAAACTTTGCTCGGGAAGGCTCCATGTGCTCTTGGAAGTGTGTGAGCGGTTGTTACTTCCCGGTTGCCCACATTGTGGAAGTTGATTGATTCTTCGGGTACGTGAAACAGAGAGTTAGTGTTGCGGGACCGCAGAGCCCAGGGGACAACTGATTCAAGCCGGTCGTACACGACCTGTATGAACTGGTTTCTTGGATTGGTTCGGTATTAGTAAATTTACCGCCAGTTACGGACCACCTCAGGAGTTAACCTTTTCCAACCCCCTCTCTCCAGAGTGGAGAGATAGCATAACTGACATGCTGGCTGTCTGAAGGGGAACACCTTACTGCTAATACATCCCTGTTCCCTAGGAGTACGACTTCGCCCACAGATCCCCAGCATAGTGTATTAAAGTTTTTAGACTATGCCGGTAACTGCTTTTAGTCTAATCACTATCGTAACAACCTTGCTGGGATGGCATGAACTGCAGAAACAATAGTTCCAGCCAGTGAAGCTTGTTGGGCAACTGAGACATGCTAGCCCGACTACCACGTCAAGGTAGCAGCTATCGTTCTCAATGGCGCAGATGCATCCAATCCTTGTGACTTACAATGAAACTATATTGTTCTTAGATATTACTATTCTTTTTGTCTCATATTTCTGTTTACTATCTCTATTTTGCATTCCTTTTTACTTTTTTCTCTTGCTTTGTGTGCAGAATAAAGGGAGAGTGGCAAATCGAACTGCTGCACATCGGTGCAAACTAGTCAGTCAGTCAGTCAGTCCTCAAACTTTCACAGATGGAGTTGGGTTCGAAACCGCTCCTAAACCAGCGAGCTACAGTTTCAAGCTTACTCTCAACTAAACAACATTACTCATTAAATCGGCTATTGACAAACTATTTGTTTATTTTGAGCTTCACGTGTTGGTTTTCAGGGATTCGATTGAATACAGGTTTGATCACGCGAGGACACCAGTTAGAAAACTAAGGAGTACTGGACGACTGTTTCGTCCTAGTCTGGGGCTCATCAGAAGTACGCACTTACTGTCACGGTTCGAAGCCACGACCTTCCGTTTACAAAGAAAGCTCGAAGATTATCCAGCCACTGGGACCCGATCCAATGGCCCATGAATTTTAACTGCTGGTATTGTTAGTCAGAATGAACAGACACACCTTATCCAGCTGAACCCTCTTATTTTGTCTAAATAGTGACGCAAAACAATATATGATAAGGACAGGATAGGATACTTACAACTCCAGGGAAAAGACGTTTCAAATTTTCAATAAGCTCTTGTTTTTTAGCTGCACGAGAAGATTCATGTCGTTCAACTTTTGCTTCACCCAGCTGACAGACAACTGTCTCCAATTCAGCATTAATTTCATCGATACGTTTTGTAGCTTGTTCAACTTCTTCACGAATAGCCTTCTCGGTTTCACGTTGTTCTGTGATAGCACGATTACTTGATCTATAATGGATAACAAAAAAAAAAAAAAAATATTCACATTGACTTATTTGGCATAAAAATCTATAAATATTACAGCAAGAAGCCTCTATATATACATACGACTGCAATTCAAAAGTGATATATCAAGCGAAATAATAACCAACGAATTGAGAAAATCGATTCAAAGATCGTTTAGTGCCAGTAGACTGCAGCTTGTATCTTCCACATGACCGATTGTGATTCCGAAACTGAAAGCCAACTCTTATTGTCTTTATAAATTCAACTGCTCCTGTGGAGCCAGTTATATTGACCATAACTGTAGGAACTTAATTTTTTGTTCTCGGGAACAACTGCCAGAGTGGTTAAATAAGGTTACGGTGAAAACCATCAACAGTTCGATATTAAACCATGTGGTTCAAATAGGCCGTACGGCGAATATTGACAAATCTTTCTCTATCATCTACTGTTATTATTCCCTCGGATTCCGAGTGGAACAAAGGGCTTCTACAGGTTGTCTCCACTTTGTTCTATTCTCTGCTGTCGTCTTCAGCTGAGTCCACGATTGCACATAATCTGTCATCTCTTCCTCGCCACACGACCTCCTCCATATCATCCTTGGATGGCCCACTCGTCGCTTCCCAGTGGATTTCCACTCGAGCGATGGCCTGTTTGGCACGCGGTATCATTTGACGGTTTCCTCAACGTATGTCAGATGCATCTCCATTTTCTTCTGCATATTTGTTGAGCAATAGGTTCTTGGTTGCTTTGTTCCCAGCGACAGTTTCCTGTTGCTAACGATTTCCGGTTGGTCGGCCATTTGATCTTCAAAATGGAACCAGCGAAGGCAGCTGTTTATGAAAGTCTGTGACCTGTTGGAAATCCTTTTCGTGACAAGCTGGCCAAGTTGCTGACCTGTATAGAAGCACCAACTTCAAATTTGTGTTGGAAATCTGAGTCTTATTCTTTATTCTAACTGAGTGCAGAAGGTTTCCAAACTGGTTTCACGTTGGTGAAGGCGTATCTTGCCTTCCCAATTCTGACTTCGACATCTTCATCCATGGTCTCGCCTGCAGTTGAAACGATGCTTCCCAGATGAGTGAAGGAAGTAACCTCTATCAAATCTCTCCCGTTGACTGAGATTGGTGCTGTTTGTTGCTGCTGTTGCGATTCATTGGTTATCTTCATCACATCCGTCTTCTCTATGTTCGCTGCCTACTTCTTCAACCAGTTTGTTGCTTTTCGCCTGCGAGTCATCGAGTCTGTGTGACATTAGACATATGTCATCTGCGAAATCTAGATCTTCGAGAGTCTTCTTATCGGTCGTCCAGCGTATTCCTGTCTTCTCTCTCCACACACAGCCTAACGCATAATCCAGTCTGCTACATTTGGGAATAACATCAGTGATAATAGGCAACCCTATCTTACTCCTGTATTCACTTCGAAAGCGTCGTTATTGTCTACTGTGTACCAAATAAATTATCGAATATCTCTAAATATTGAATACTCGAAACGGTAGAACCCATCGCCCAATCAGCCTAAGACACAGGGACTTGGTGTACAGAAGAAACAAGTCCACTCACCACTGTTACCCTGGCCTGCTGTGAGACCTATACATTCATCATATTTTTTTGTGTTTCTTAATTTATCTGACATTCGGTTTAGCGTTATACTAATGCGTTTTTAAATTTTTTTTTCTTAAAACAGACCCTACAAACAAACTTTTGTAAATTATTCTGATGCTCGCTACTGGCTGTTTGCGAGACGAAGTTGTCTGGAGTTCTAGTGAGAAGTCGTGATCAGTGGGGGTCCACCTGGTAGACAGTGACGGCAAATACTCGCCAGCGATGACACTGACTGGCAGTCGCGCAAAAATCACGAAGTGGTAGATGTTAGAATTCGTGGGCTGAGTAGTCCAGCTTAGTAGGTCCTAAGTTCGAACCCTGGCAGTAAGTGCTTGCTGCTGACGAATCAGCTGTCCAGTACTCACTACCTGGGAAAGCTGAGTGCGAAGCTAGCTACCCAATCATCCAATGGTAAAAGATAACACCAGTGTGCAACTGAAACTCCAAACATGAAAGCGTGAAGCCTAATGGAAACCAAAGGAATTTATAAAAGGAATAATAATAATAATAATAATTGTGATTTAGTTGAGTTCTCTTAGCTGGTTGTACATTTGTGATTGAGAAGCTTACGTCGTCCTTCTAGACAGCATCCCTTCAGCGCAGTTTTTAGCCTGAAATGAACTAATATTGTGATGATACATTTGTAATAATTAAAAGAAATGATTTGGAATACACTCAAAAATTAATCAACAACATATTTGAAGACAATAACCTTCACCACAAAAGAAGAATTAGACAACAGAATTCCATTCTTAGACGTCTGAATCACGAACACTAACATAGGAAATTTCGGGAAACACATGTATACAGAAAATCAACATATATACAAATCAAATACTCAACTGTAGTAGCAATAAACCGATGACTCACAAAAGAAACTGCACACATTTTGTTCAAAAGAGTTCAAACAGAATATTGCACTCTTGTATTGAAAAGAATATAAGAGAAAAACCTACTATAACTGTCTTCAATTTCATCAAAAAGTGTTCAAACGCAAATCATAATACCAACAAGAAACCATCAACAAAGAAGTTCACTCTACCACACATAAAGAATATCTCTGAAACAACTATCGGCTAGAATACTAAGACCGTTTGAAATAAATATAGCACACAAGCCAGCCAGCACAATCACTTCATTCGATATTGTGCAGACCGAAACACCCAACAGCGAAAGAAGATAAGATCGATACCATTTACAAAATAAACTGCATGAACTGCAATACACACTACGTCGGCTGAAGTGGGCTTCCCCTTAGAATCCAAATCCAAGAACACAAATTAGCTGTGATGAAAAGACACGATATGTATTCTTTCACATCGATGTATATGTAGACAATCACAGACACCGATTGGATTGGGATAATGTAGACATTTTAAACAGAGGAAACACCGAAAATACTGCCGGGAAAATTCTGGAAGCCTGGCACTCGGATGAACCAGTAATTAACAGACATATTATTATACACCAAATTTACCAACTAATAAAAAAATGAGTCACATGACAAGAAAGTTCAAATTCCAAGTCAATAAAAATGATCAACAGAAATGTAAATTAACATGTAATCAATCACATAATGGTTTTCAAGAGATACAGTTATATCATTCATTCATAGAGAATTCAAGTAGGTTCATTCCATGCTAGAAACCGCGTTCAAAAGGGGGATGTTGTCTGGATGGTGGACAACGAAACCTTCACAATTAAATCAACCAGCCCCTTTAAAGAACACAACTAAAACAAAATTATCCATCTGTTGAGCTAGAAATCTTCTCCAGTAATTATTTCAGAATAAACAACAACGCCAAAAAAAGAAAGAAAAGGTTGACTTACTCAATATATTCAACTAATTTATGTAAACGTTTTTTATTTTCATTTAATTCAGTTTCTTTACGTTTCAGGGAACTTTCAATTTCATTTTTTCGTCTTGACAGAGCATCATATAAATCTTTTTGTTCATTATATTCACGATTTAAATTATCAAGTACAGCGGATAAGTGTGATGTACGTTCAGCAACTTTTTGTTTTAATCGATGATATTCTGTTAACTAAAATGGCGACCAAAAGAAAAAAGCGCGGAAAATGAAATTAAGTGATATTTTATGCAATATTGAATTACAATTAATCATAATTATCAATCATAACATGTGTTGCGTATGCCTAGTCATCGCCTTCTTCGACAACAGGCAATGTTAGCTGACGCAGGATCAGGCTGAAAAAGATCCAGCGAGTAGTGGTCAAACCACAACAAGCCTTCATCAGTCAATGAAATCCATAACAGTTAGTTTAAGCCACTTAGGAAGATGTAGACTTCCTGGTTGGGGTCCTCGGGACTGTAAAAACCAATGAAGGCTGAAGACAATCGGTGATATGGCTCAAAATCGTTCTCGGTGATGACTGGCGCAGATGCATCCACTCCTTGTGACTTATAATATCCAATCAAACTATATTGTTCTTAGTTATTACTATTCCTTTTGCCTCATATCTCTGTTTACTGTCTCTATTTTGCGTTTCTTTTTACTTTTTTCTGTTGCTTTGTGTGCTAAAAGGAGGGAGTGTGGCGACTTGAACTGTAGCACATCGATGCAAAGTTCTATGTTGCAAACAGATAGACAGAATGGCTGCCTTCGAAAAATTTGGGCAATGGGTATATAATATTCATTTTAATAAAGTTTTTTTTGTATTTTCCAATGAATGAAAAGCAAAACGATATTGTTGTGTTTACTGACGTTTCGCTATTTAATGCTGCTGTTAATAGCTTTATCAAAGTAGTAATGTTGAAGCAAAATTTACAAAATCTCATCTTATATATAACAACTTAATCATCGTTCCTCAGCATGGGGTCATTTTTGAGTTGTCAATTTGGCCAATTGGTAAATTGTGCGTCGGTGGCACAGTGGTTAGGACTCTCGTCGACCATGCGCACGGTCCGGGGTTCGATCCCCTGCCGGCGCACACCCGATATCTATGGTCAGCCTGAATTTGGGCTACCGATATCCATGCTGAAAATTCCACACTTGTACTGAAAATACGGTGTGGAATCAAGCTGTAAATTAAAAAATTAAAAAAAAGCTAATAAAACGTCTAATATCATCAGAAGCGCTTCATATCCAGTGGGATCCAGATTGCCTGAATAGAAATGATGGACTAAAGCAAAATTGAACCTGGTTACAAACCCTTCCCTCCTCTATTAAATGACAAAATCAAGACGAATGTAATAAGCAATTACACTACGTAAACACATGCTCCCTTTATAACTGTACACACTTATCAAATCCAACACCTGGTTTTATTATCTTTACCAACTGGCCAATTTGACAACTCAAAAATGCCCCCATACTGAGGAACGATGATTAAGTTGTTAAATATAAGCTGAGATTTTGGTTTAATATTATCACTTTGATAAAGCTGTTAGCAGCATTAAGTTGTGAAATGTCAGTAAACACAATAATATTGTTTTGTTTTTCATTCATTAGGAAATACAAAGAACCTTTATTATGATGGCTGCCTTCGTTGGTTTGATACTTGAAATCAGACGGTACGATATAGACACCAAGAAGATGCACCTAACAATAACAATAATAATAAAACAGCGATATATGTGTAGAAAATAGGGAGAGAATGAATAAGGGACATCATCTGGAAAGGAAGCAACTATTTTTGACTGGGCACTATAGTCAGCACCGAGTGTCGCGGGTTCGAATCTCAGAGGGGAAATGAGTTCCTTTGAGGTTGCAGGTGCACCTTTCTGACTGGTGAGTGCCAACTAGGTCACGAAACCTAGGTCCAAGGCTTCCTGTTTCCGATTACCTCCAACCATCTAAAACTAGGAAGCAACTATATCTAACAAGACTAAGTAACATTCATCGAATTGCAGCATGACAATTCGAGCCACTGACTGGAGCTTTCTCTCAGATCGCAACCAGACGGTCGCGCTGTACTACCAAACGATGCCAACCTAACGCAAATATCCTTCATCCCACGATGCCCCGTCATGATAGGCTGACCACGTATCCACTTTTCCCACCTCGCTCTAGGGCCAGCGAACAGATACCGGTATGGAAACCTCTAGGATTACATTCCTAGCAGATGTCCAAGTTACCGAAGCCAATGTTACCAGTTCCAATAAGCATGAAATCTCACTATAGGATTTCAAATCGACTGCCTTCAACTGCCTAACATCATTTCAAAGTACAGTGCAATGCTGAGTCACCTGGATGCATGACCACACAATGAAAACTTTACTGACAGAATTCAGTCTATGCCAATAGTAAGAACTAAGAAAGATGATGCTGCTTAACGCTTGCGCGATCAATCAACATATCTGTCAATTCATTATACTACTCATTGATTGACATAAGTAGTTGAACACCGCTCACATTAACAAGTAGTGCTTGCTAACCAGTTCCATATGGAAGTGACCTAAACAACCCCGCTCGCTCCTTTTTACGACCGAGTTCATCAATATCGGCGTCGTACTCAGAGTTTGACTCAGCTTTGATATAACCAAATGTTCCGGCTAACTAAAATACTTCGCAATTTTGAATAAAGAAAGAACAACAGTGGCGGTTAGTGCAGAATAAGAAGATGGTACTATCATTGCTTATTTCGTTGGTTTCTCATCAGAGCTCAGATGCTTACAGCCCAAATAAATTATGAGGTTTGCGCACAGAAAAGTTTTAACATACTTGCAAATTTTGTTTTCCATGATGTCAGTTGACAGAAAGTTCCACAATTAGTGAACAGTGCTCAGAAAATTGCGTTTATATAGTTTTTACACAGACAGTTCAAGTTCAAGCAAAATAAATGTATACATATAATGGTAAAGGAGTTATGTAATAAAGACGAGAGATGCGTACGATGCTGAGTGACTAATAAATTAGGTGACAATGTACTGAGTTCGACTCACATCATAGAAACAAGAGACAAGCAAAGTTACACTACATCAAAAAGAGGGAGGGGGTGAGGTTAACGCCAAAAGATTATATGACCATACGAAAGAGGGAATAAAGACATCCAGTTACCAAGATGGGCGAGGAAAGACTAACAACTGCTTCTTTCTGAACATACATAAATCTGGTTTCAAGCGTTTGATAGAAATTGCTTCGTCAAACTTGAGGAGAATCGAGCTCCTTTGTCTATTCCCGACCTATAGCTGCTACCTTGACGTGGTGGTCGGGCTTGCATATCGCAATGACCCAACGAGCTACACTGGCTGGAACTTATGTTCCTGTAGGTCCTACCATGCCAGAAAGGTTGTTTGGATAGCGGTTAGACAAAAAGCAGCTACCCAATCCAATACTATGATTCAAACAAATTCACAAAATATCATGCCGGATCGGTCGGGGCCCGGATTAACAACGACCGCGTTTCCTGCTGCCATGTCACAGGGCAGAAGTGATAAATATGCTACTGAGACACACCAAACAAAAAAGAACAAACAAAAACAGGCCGCGTGTGACCGGCTTCAAGCAGTTATTCACTGGGCTCTACGGTCACGCGACACATTTTCTGTTTCAGGTTGCCGAAGAATCAATCAGCTTCCACGGTGTGGGCAGCCGGGAAGTTTCAACCGCCCACACACTTCCAAGAGCACATGAAGCCTTCCTGAGCATCACTATCCCTTTGTCTATTGATAATTTTAAAGGATTTCGCGATTCCACCCACCCCCCTCATGACCCGTATCGAGGAGATGTCTGGTAATAGCACTATTATAAAAAGTTTGTTCCCTTGAGACGTAGGCTTTGCCGCCAAGTGTTCATCAGATGATCTGCACACTGGACACTTCGATCTGATTGGTTAACAAGCTCTACTAACTAGTTGACGTTGATTAGTAACTAACTACTTATTTCAAACAATCAGTAGTATATATGATGCGCTTGCTTTCTTATATCGCCATTTATGGTTATTAAGCAAATTAGAATACCTTTCGATAGTGAAATTTCGACACATCTGAGTTCATAGACTCATCATAACATAAAGAGACTACATAGATTAAAAAAAGATGTTGTTAACAAATGAAACGATCGTCCCAACAAGGATATGGAACAGATAAAAAAACAATATTTTCCAGTATTGGTTTTGTAGGGATTTTGTTTGATTGCATGGAAGATTTCATCATGAGCTGACATCAGATAGAGAACCACCGGAAAACCTGGGGGTACTGTACAGCTGTTTCGTCCTAGTCTGGGACTCTTCATCAGCATGCACCCACCGGCATTCGAACCGAGGACCTTCTGGTTACAAGGCGAGCTCGTAGGCCATTGAGCCACCGGGACCCGATCCAACGGCCCTGGGTTCGAATCCCGGTGGATGCGTACTGATGAAAAGTCCCAGACTAGGACGAAACAGCTGTCTAGTACTCCCAGGTTTTCCAGTGGTTCTCTAACTGATGTCAGCTCATGATGAAATCCTCCATGCATAAAAACAATAAACAAATAAGTCAACGCACCTGAGTCTCTTCCAATTCTAAATCACGACCTTGTTCCAGTGATTTTTTAGTCTGTTGTTGTTCATAATCTTTTTGTAAATTAGAAATTTTTTCATACTCCGCTTCCAATTGATCAATTTCTTGTAGATGTGTACTATGCAGTTGTCGAGCATTTTCAAGTGATTTCCTTCACAAAAGAACAAAAATAGAAAACAGAAAATTTATGAGATTATTAAGGCATGACTGACTGACTGATTAACTACTGATTGGTTTCAACATCAAACTACTTTGCACAGATGTGCAGCAACAGTTCCAGTTGTTGCAACCCTCCCGCCATATTGATATGTAGTCGTCACATGACGTCTGCATTTGATTCGCTAATCTGGCATATTTTGCGATGTATGTATATATTGATCGTTATTCTATTATAACTCACAATATATCTTGTCTGTCCATTAACTAAATAAATAATGTATGTATGACCTTTTTGTCACATGACATTGCAACCAATCAGAATCCAGTAGTATTATTATTGTTTCCTTTAATTCCTAGAGAATCATAGGGCTTCAGCCGTGCGTCTCCATTACGTTCGGTTCTCTGCTAGAGTCTTCACCTGGCTCCATGTCTGCCCACACGTTTTCATCTCCTCTTCACATGACCTCCTCCAAGTCACCCTTGGACGACCAACTCGCCGCTTCCCTTTCGGGTTCCACTCGAGCAATGACTTGTCTAGTGATGTCACTTGATGGTTTCCTCAGAGTATGGCCAGCCAATCCATATCCATTTCTTCCTGCTTATTTGTTTCACAATCGGTTCATGGTCAGTTCGCTCCCAGAGATCTCTACTGCTGATCTTTTCTGGCCATCTGATCTTGAGTATTGAGCGAAGACAACTAGCTGTTGATGAAGGTCTGTAGTTTGCTTGATATGCTCTTTATGACGCGCAGTGCAAGTCTCTGATCCGTATAGTGAGTAGCACTGACTTTACATTGGAGTTGAAAATCCGGATGTTATTTTTCATGCTGAGTGCTGTTGACCTCCACACAGACTTGAGAGTAGTGAAAGCTTATCTTGCTTTTCCGATTCTTGTTTTGATATCCTCGTCAGTTCCGCCTGTAGTTGAAACGATTCTTCCCAGGTAGGTGAAGGAGGTTGTTTCTTTCAGGTTCCTCCGATTTATGCTGATTGTTGTCAGTTGTTGTTGTTGTTGCTGTTGGTGGTGTTGCCCAGGAATTTTCATCACCTCTGTTTTCTCCATGTTCACCTGAAGTCCTATCTTTGATGCTTCTTCTGCCAACTTGTTGCTTTTCGCTTGCATATCTTCCAGTTTGTGGGAAATCAGACATATATCATCGGCGAAATCCAGATCCTGCAAGTTTTTCTGTAGGTTCATTTTATGCCTGTTTCCTCACTACCCTCTGTTTGTCGCATTATCCAGTCTACTGCAATCAGGAAAATCATTAGAGATAGTAGGCAGCCAGCTTGTCTTACTCCTGTCCTCACTTCGAAGGATTCCGTAAGTTTCCCGTTGTGGATTAATTGGCATGCAGCACTGTCGTTCAGCTGTTGGATGAATCACAATCCAGTTGTCGTAAGAAAAACTACTATCTGTCTTATTGGTTCATGTGTGTTAGTTATTTCCTCCTATATACTCTTGTATTGCACAGTTAATTCACACACCCTTTCCTACTCTTTCCTACTTTTTCACTAAAACCTTTTCTTGTGTGACAGTTAATTTCCCTTGTTGGAAAATACACGTATCCATTCGTGAACGTGGTGGTGGTCTTCTGATTCTCCTCTTCGCGTTAGGACAAATCAACCACTAAGCACAATACCAGTCTGTACGTATGTTATCGTCCGTTATATCTCATTAGCGCATATTTACACTACTCGGTCGCATCATAATACTACTGGCAACGACACTATAACATATTGACGACGAGTTCATAACACATATACCATACACAACGCAAGAGAAGACAGCAAATAAAGATTCAAAGGGGAGTTAATAAACAGAAGCATTGAGTGACGGAAAAAGAATGAATAGTGAATAATATGGAAGAACTATAGACTTTTATTGGATATACACAAATCATAAACACCGAATGAATCAATGCATCTGCGCCAGCCATTGTGACAACGAGGATGATTTTCAGCCATATAACCAATTTGGAATTAGTTGTATTCTCTGAACAGGTTGGTTTAATTGCGAAGCTTTCGTCATCCCCCTTCTTCTGGGCAACACCTTCAGCGTAAGTTTAAATTCTCCATGAATGATAGAATTGTGTCTCCTTGCGCTTAAAATGTTGTCTAGAGGGATGATGAAAGCTTCGCAATTAGACCAACTAGTTCAGAGAACACAACAAATTCCAAATCATCCAGCTGAATTATAAATCTTCTCTATTATTTCGTATCACTAATTGCCTCCAGCTTTTATTAGTTCTTACCATCTCGAGGACCCCAACTAGTAAGGCAGTCTACACCTGCCTACGTGACTGGCACGTACGCGGGTAACCAGAACAGTCGACTTCTTAAAACAAATCATTTACTGGCCAGGCATGAGAAAAGATGTGTCAAAATATGTACTTGGATGTATGCAGTGCCATTTGATGAAAGGAGATAGGTACATACGACCGCCTGTGCAGTAGGTAACTTGTGATCTGTAGATGTGACAATGGGTCCATTTCGGCAGACATCTAGTGCAAATCAGCACCTCCTGGTGATGATGGAACACATTACACGATGGTTAGACGCCGTCGCGATCCCTGGTCAATGCGCAAGAACTGTAACTGATGCAGTAGTTCGACATATCGTTGCAGACCATGGTGTACCAAAGACGATACTGACCAATCAGGGTCCTTGTTTTGAACGCGAAGAATTCACTTTCTGCTTGCAACAACTGGGGATTAAGAAGATCTGAACAACACCATATCATCCAGAAAAAAATGGTCTGCCAGAGAGAAATAATTGCACACTGAAAGAATGACTGGCCTTGAAGAGAGACAGAGCTTCCATTGATTCTACTAGCACATTGTGCTTCCACCCAGAAAGCAACAAAGAAGTCACCATTTAAGTTAATGTGCGGGAGGAATCCACAACTACCAATACACAGCACAATCTGGCCCCTCCACCAGCAGTGGAATACAACGATGCTGCGAACAGAACGAAAAGAAGCCATCAGGAATGTGCAACGTAAACAGAAGGAAGACGCCGCGAAATCAGGACAGGGGGAAAAGATGAGATGCATAACCTACGAAGTTGGCCACCAAGTAAAATACAGAGAAAGAAAGTACAAAGTTAGATGCTGGCAAGGTTCACGGAAACTCTTTCCGAAGTGGGAAGGACCATATAATGTCACCGAGAGACATGGTCCCGAACACGGGAGAGAGAACACAGACGCCGATGATCAAAGACAGGTAGCCAAGCTTTTCATGTCTTTCACTCTCAATGGTCATGTGTCACAGCCATATAGGCGGATAGAGCTTACTTCTGAGCAGTACACACGCCCTTCGGTCGATATCCAGATAGCTGTACATCGCGTCTACTAAGCCAGAGATAGCTTAAGTTGACATAAGTGAAAAAAGCCTTCTGTATCTTTGATCAGATTTCACCAGCCACCAACCAACTGGGGCTAGCTGATGCAACTTCCAAATAAGTGAAGTGGTCAACATGCCCAGTCGCCATTTCACTCTTTGAGCTAGGAATGAGTCAACGTAGTCCACTCCTGTAGTATCATCTTACATATGACAGGAGCAAATAGCATCTCAAGTATTCGAAGATTTCTGTTCAAGGTGCTCACAAGACTGCATTTTGTCAGCGAATGTCTCCACCACCTAGGAGGAGGACTATATCATCTGCATATTCTAAGTCAATGAGATTATTCCCTGGTGGTAACAAGTCAATCTCTGAGTGACCGAAGTCAGTTTGGGTACATATGTGATGAAATTAAACAAAAATGCGGACACATAAGAGAAAAGAAACACCAAAATCTTACTTGGATTCTTTATGCTTTTCAGTAACATGACGTAACAACTGGGAGACTTTAATAAATTCAGGTTTTCTTTTACCAATTCTCTGTTCCTATAAAAAATACAATTAAATTAGTCAGTCAGTCAGTCAATATGTGCACATGAAAATAACATACGCATTTTTTAATTTCTTGTTCCAACGATGACTGATCTCGATTGATTTTGCCTAATTCACGTCGTTTCTCTTTCATTTCCTCCTCAATCAACTGGCGTTGTTCATGTTCAGCGGCAACAGCCTCCTCTCTTTGCTTCAACTCCTCACGAACATGTCTTATTTCTAAATCATTGTAGTATAATCGGAACAGATGTAGTTCAAGTCGTTTTTTGGTCTAAAACATGAGGAAAAAGATTACTATTATTATTATTAGTTAGTATTAAACCTCAGTGTATATAATAGAAAGAACCACAATTCAATTTCACGAAAAGCCAACCAACAAGAAGCTATGGTCCAATGGTAGAATGCTTGTCAATCACCCACCTGCTCCGGGGTTCGATTCCCGGCCTACACACTGCTAAACCTTGCTGTGACAAATACTAATCTCGGTGAATACTGAATTTAAGGTAGCAAGTTCGTGGGGGGCTATTACCTCCCGGCTGCTCACACTATAGAAGTCGATTCCTTCTTCGGGTAACTGAAACAGAAGGACTATTAATGTGACTACATAACCGCACAGACAAAGGGGCAACTGCGTAAGGTTGCTCAATTACGGCCTGTCTGAAATGGTTTCAAGAGTTCCGTCCGTAATAAGATCTTACCACCACAACGTAAATCGGGATGTACAATTTTCCCGGTCAACCTTTCACTAACCCCAGCTCTCCAAACAGAATAGGCAGTATAGCTGGTTGAGAGGAACACCTTACTGCTCTTAAATCCCCAATTCGCCAATAGTACAACTTCATCCTCAAGCCCCCAACTTTGTGTAATCGACTTATACTATGATGGTGGATGACTTTCGTGTAACTGGAATTTTAGGACCTGCAGAAACATTAATTCCAGCCAGCGTAGCTCATTGGGCTATTGCGATATGCAAGAATGCCCACCACTTCATGGTAATAGCTAACTGTTGGACCTCGGTAAACAAGGGAAGGTTGGGCGTGGAAAAGAAAACAATACCACTGCAACTGAAACTTCAAGGACTTAAGCTCCAGGCCCTATGTTCCACTAGGAGTGCAAGGGAATAGAAAAAGTAGTGGCTAGAATGATGAAGATCTTGGAAATCTTCTACACTCAGCATAAGGAGCAAGATTCGCATTTTCAACACAAATGTGAAGTCGGTCCTTCTGTACTGGTCAGAAAGTGCACTGCTTGTCACGGAGAGGATTTCCAACAGGTTGTACACTTTCATCAACAGCTGCCTTCGCTGGCTCCATACTGAGGATTAAATAACCTGTCAGAAAGAATTAGTAACAAAAAAACTCTGGCTGTGAACAAACCAACTGAGAGCCAATCATTCAACAAATATGTAGGAGAAAATGGAGATGGATTGATCGGGCATACATTGAGGAGGCCGACGAATGACATCGCCCTTAATATAGGCCATCGCTCGAATGGAATCCCACCGGGAAGCGATGAGTGGGTCGTCAGTGCTAGGGTGACATGGAAGAGATCGTATGAGGAAGAGATGAGAGATAATGGGTAATCGTGGACCCAGCTGAAGTTCCACTCAGACTCAAGGGAATGATGATGATAATAATAACAGAATGATGACTGAACATCTTACTGATTCTCTTTCGTCAGGTAAACAAACAGGACCTGATAATTTCGCATACAATTAAGCCTTCAGCAACAGGTAACACAGAGTGCTGATAAGTCTCAAGATGACACCTAATGATCAACCAAAATGACGCATATGTAATCCTTTCATAAGAAAATCAAATACACAACAACAAGTCGGGACGCTGCATAAACATTTGTGTGAAAGAAACCCTCTTCACCTTTGAAATCACTTACCAATTCACTTTGAAGTTTTTTATATCTTTCCGCTTCATCAATTTCAATCTTGGCTTCTTTTCTTTCAGCAACAATACCTTTTTTCTTATTTAAATTAAAATTTGCATTCTCTTCTAATTTTTGCATTTCCATTTTTGACATATCATATTCTTCTTTGAGTTCAGCAGATCTTTACAAAAAATAACAAGTGAGATGATAATTTAAAGTTCTAAATTGATGAAAAAGTAGTTTACTTGCTAATCTCTTCAAACATTTGACAACGTTCACGAGCATTTTTCATAGCGATACTTTCAACAGCGCCTTGAAATACAAGAAAATTTTTCACTTTCATAAATATATGTATTTGTTCAAGTGCAGCAGCGTATTCATCCACCCGAACAGACTATAAGGAAAGTTTTGGAGGTATTACATTATGCATATGGGATAAGCGCAACATACAACACCATTGATTCTATACTCAGAGGTATTCCCGTGAATAACACGACTGAAACGTTTTTCTTCCCCGTCAGGCATTTCATAGACTGCTGTAACTGAGGCTGATTTTGAAACAGGCCTGCCAACAACTGAACCATGGATTAGATCCTTTAAAGATATGTATGAAATAATCATTGACGTGAAAATAGGAAGCTATGCTTACATTTAATCTGCGAACTCGTAAATGTCGAGTATTTTCACCAAGAACAAAGCTTATAGCATCCATCAGGTTCGATTTGCCTGAAGAAATATGAAAGAAAACAATAGACACAAAGCTATAATTGTATGCTTAGGGATGCTACACACACAAACACATGATAACGCCAAGAATATACACAAATATAAACTACCTAGTGTTAAGAACTTTTATACCGATCAGTCTTAATAAACCATATACTTTTATAAAATATTAACATTAATTGCTGGACTATGGTTTATCATAAAGCTGGTTTTTGTTCGGGGGATCCTTGGAACGTCCGGAGACAGAGTAGGAGACTTTAACAAATGATCAAGACGCTGCAGACATGCTGATATTAAGTAACATTCGAAATTACTGAACATTTTAGTCCATAAACGACCTGGTACCCCCGAGGGCAGGTAGACTTCAGTGTTCCTCTCCAAATGTTCTTATTTCGCTATGCCTTCACAACCTCTGCCTCGTATGTCCTAGCCACTATCTTTAAATGGAGCAAGTGTAACTGACAAAAGCGAACCTTTGGCGCTTGCAACACGACTGGTGGACGCGGTGGTCTCCTGTGTGGCGTACATGAACTCCAGAATCCGATTAGATCGAATGGCGTATGAACCTGTTTTGGTCGCCAGAAACTATAAGAAGGTAGCTCTTAAAGCGGTTCCATGTCCTTGTGGACCATACTTGAAGTCGAAGGTTCACGGAGTGGCCCCTTAAAACAATCATCAGGAAGTATCTCGGACCTTGCATATCTCTTGGTGGCTATAATGTGCCAAGTTTGTTTTTAATAAATATAAAATATTTATTTATTTAGTTTCTTCTTTCTCAAACACCCTATTTGTTCATTTTTGAATTTTGCTTGGTACCTTTACCATATGTGTACTGTTTCGAGATGCAATAATTTGAAATCGCGTACTTCTGTACGAATTTCTCAGATGATCTATCTCTTTTTACCGTCGAAGTTTATAAAAATGATTCAGTGGTAATATATCCATAAGTTGCAACGTGAAATGGAATCACACGATATGATAAAAGCAAACAGTGAAATATAAAACGCGGAATGAACACCTGAGTAACTTAAGCGGTACATTTTCTGCATGACTGACATCAGTCGAAATCCTCAAGTAAAGTGTGTTTTATCAGGCTGATGAATGGTTAAAAGCAAGAAACCCAAAGTATAAAAGGTTTCTTTACTGACTGACTTTTAACACCCAGCATTACGATAAAATGCAGTATAAGAGCCTTGGGCATATTGGTCTAAGTGATCAGCTTCTAACCAGCGGGTCACAAGTTAGAACCCTGCTCCACCTACTGAGATGTGAGCGATCAAATGGTGTCATTGGCCCTCATACAATACATGTAGTTCTCATTGCTAACTGCATGGAATTGCAAGTGGTTGTTATTTCATTTCATATTCACATTACAACAGCCGACAGTATTCTTTCTACCACTACTCATTCTGTTTCACTCTTATACTTGTCAAAACTCTATTGATTCTCTTCACTCATTTTCTTGTCTACCTTTGTGGCACCTCGAACTGCTGCACTTCGGTGCCAAGTTCTATGTTGAATCCAGCCAACCAGCCGACAGTATTCTATCACCTTTCTTTTAAAAAGTAAAAGAATACGTAGACTTAGATTGGGATTTTTCAATAAGAGTAAGGCTCTAGTGCGCTCAATACTGAAAAGGTCGCTTTTACTTTGACAATCAAAAGCTGGGTCAATTGGACAATGGCCAACTACATTTTCAGTTCTTATGCACTTTCACATAGTCCAAGCTTATGATTGAAATTCGTGGAGACAACGGAAATAAATGAATGGAAATTTCGTAATATAGCTGAATCATATAAACCTACTTACACATTGACTTCGTATCAAATACTGATACCGGCAAGCACCAGACATGACAAACATTAACTAAATACGTGTCCGTAAAGACGAAAACGAAAGAAGTGGAAATAACAGCAGTAATACACAGTATCCCTTAATTGTTTAGGTGCATTACAGAAAAGACTCATAAAACGACTATCGTAAGTCGGATGATTTCGAAAAAATCAGAGAGATGACTGCAGTGGTGATCACAACAGATTTCAGAGCAGTTCACGGATGCACTAGATGTTCACCATTCTACCTCAATCTGAATGCAATGCAGGTAACTGTCTTCCAACTGTGGCTTAGGTTGCTACTCTAATCTAAAATGACTCACAAAAGCAGCATCTGATATAATCTTGTTTTGATTTTTTCTTACATTGGTTGGGATTATTTTAAATAATTTACAATGCAGCAGCTGGTAGTTTGAATCCGAGAGTGTTAAGGGATCATTTATTAGCTATATGTGTTAACTAGTGTATGTGATGCTGGTTTTGGGTTAGGTGAAGATCGTCAGCCATCCAAGTTTACAAGAAGGGAAACCAGTGTTCTTGCAATAATCACAAAGGGATCAGTTTGAGTAATGCATTATCTAAGATCCAAAGATCCATATAAGCAGCTAGGGAAAAACAAATTCGACAAACCTAGACAGATTTCACATCCGCATGAGGGTTTACTTCTTGACAAATTTCAGCATACAAGCCCACATACCAGATACCAAGACTTGCCACATTTCTTAGTGCTAGTATTAGACTCCAGCAATTAAGAGTTGTAACAATAAGAAGAGTGTCAAGAAACTATATTGTACTACTCTAGGAGCTCTACGCGAACTATGCAGAGGCTCATTGAGAGTTTACATCTGAAATGGAGACAATAAGTGGTCAAGGATGTCTAATGTCACAACTCTTATTTAATCTATACGTTGAGGGTCAACGTATTATCATGGGAATGTTAGGTTAATCCGCAATACACACATGACATAGCTCTTTTAAACGAAAACACTGACAAAATGCAGAACTTTCTGAACTTCAAAGACAAAACTCTGAGTACGCTCTGGATGCGGGTCACCCTGACGAAATATAAGAGGATGTCACAAGGCTGACGTGCATCAGGTGGGCCGGTGCTAAACACTCCCCTTATCTGATATCAGCCTACTGAGACATTACTGACAAGATTTCACTGTGATCACGTAATATGTCTGGGTGGCATCCTCAAACACCAGGAGTTGGAAACTTAAAGATATCTCTCCTGTGGCTGAATTTCAAGGATTAGTGAGCAGCAACTGAATCTTAGTACTAACATACCTAAACTTACAACAGGCAATGAGCTACACCTACTAAGAAGAATGCCACTCATATTGATGTACGAGTTTCAAAATCAAAAACTGAAGGCTGAAAGTGTCTACACCAATTGATTACAGTGATACAAGCCACCTTTGGTAATGGTGTATGTCAAAAAATAAAATGTCACTCAATAATCACCGGTTATTCAATTACGTTGGCAATACAACACTTATAGTGTGATGGAAGACGAGACCGTACGGCCTGTCGAAGTCCAGTAAAAAGGGGCTCAAAATCACGATCAACTGGTCGAAAATTGAATGCCTGGTGGAATATGTCAACGTCTTTTTTCTACACTCTGTGCGACACGACAATAAGGCGAGTATGATATGTGCGAGATAAGCAGTGGAAAGACAGAAAATTAATAATTGGCGTGCTTGTATACCGCTTTGCATCTTACCCTCTGAACTAAGACAATAAGATATAATCAAAGAGAGCAAGGGAGCTGGAAAGATGACGGCAGATCAACCAATACGCAACATTTGCCAGGCGACAAAGGCACGGGAAGGCAGACAATTTTTTGAAACAAATAACTACAAATTAAATTTCCCATATTAAACACCCAATAGTCAGCTAAAATACGGAAGGCGAACAATGAAGTGTCATGAACCGAAAGTGATAGCAGAAAGTGGACTGTAGCGGTAAATAATTCCCCAAAATTATTAACCACAGCAATCATCACTCAACATTGGATGCTGACCATCACTGTTTAAGTCGACTTGTTTAGCTGAAGGCTTACGGTCAAGCATCCCCGCCATTTGGTGCTCCGTCGTGTCACGTGCGTGCACGATTACTAGCTAGCTAGGCATTCACCTCTACCCGCGATTTTGTCCCGAAATATAATACGTACTTTGGACGACAAAATCTGGTCTTTTGCTTTACCATTTGGTACTCGAAGAACGAACACTATAGAAGTTGTTGGTATAAGATCTTGCGTTAGTATAATCCGTACAACTCGCGAACGTCGATACCGTCAACATCTAAAGGACCAAAACAGAAGTTATCACGGGCTGTCGACTGTGCTACTACAATCGAATCACGACTCTGTTCTCAAAAGTTAAATGCTACCTACTAAATTTTAACCAGAACCAATATTTCTTAACTTTAGGTGCGTGACGCAAGCTACCATCCCCTTAAGTCTGACATATTTCAAATACAACTGAACGATTCACTCTCGATATCTTAGGACCATTTTCGGTTCCCTTAGTCCTAAGACTAGATTTTGCGAAAAATCTACAGTCCTCACATATACCAGTGCATATTTCTACACACTGCACTGCTTGAAATTCTGAGTTTATCACAAATCATGAAGTGTTGTCACCAAAGAAGAAGTCAAAATGTTGGCAACACATGCAAACAGACATGTACTCAAATCAAATGACTCACCTGAACCATTTGGCCCAATAATCGCTGTAAACACACTGAAAGGGCCAATAACTTGCTTCCCTTTATACGATTTGTAGTTTTCCAACTCAATAAACTTTAACCTCCCACAATTCTCATCCATTTTTGAATCAAACACTCATCATGTGAAGGACACGTTCAATCTTCAATGCAAAATACTAAGATGCCGAGTGGCAATCTGATGCTTCCATGATACTGTTAGATTTTCATATAATTTAAGGTTAAGCTGAACCTAAGACACTCAATAGTTTAGAATGAACCTGCGACCTTGGGACGTTCAGTCAGAGAAAAACAGTGAAACCAGACAAGTAACACTATTTTACTTTTACTGTTATCCTCTTATGTTCAAACTGGAACAGATTTTCACCTCTTCAAGACCATACAGCTTAATAGTTTGCTTCGGACGGACAGGAGTATAATTCCG